AGAGCATGATAAAAGCATCTACGAGAGTTAACTTGAGAACTTTTGCTGATTGTTATCTGAGCAATGGGTGAATAGTCTTATTTTCTTCATATTTTATGCTTACCGAAAGAACTCATCCATTAATCGCTCCATAATCATTCACTAATGCGTTATTTAAAAGTATTACTTGATAGCGTATACTTATTAATTTTTCATTTATTATTCTATTTTCAAACGATTGTGTGAAAAACTGCAAGTTTCTGAAAATTTTCACTCTGAATAAGATATTCTTCGCATTTCTTTTTGTCTTTTTTTGCAACATCAAAAAAATTTTAATCAATAATTCGCCCTTCCAAGTACTTTTTGAGGAAAATACGTTTAGCAATCGTATAAAAGGATTTATTGAATGAGTGATTAGTTGCAATTTGACTAGTTTGTCAGCTTGTTGCTACAGTAACAGTTTTACAAATATTGTATGTACGAATTTTAAGAAGAAAAGGAAAATAAATGCCTTTAAACTGTTGAGCTTTGCACTAGGAAAGTCCACATTCCAAAAATTTAGCTTACAATCAAAAGTAATAGCTAGTAAGCTTTTTCTCAACTTTCTTCTGTGTATAATCTTGAAGTTAAGATTGTACTACCAATTTTGTATCGTTTTCAATATGTGCAATCAGTCTTTTACTACTTAAAGTATTCCTTAAAGATAGAGTGTTTATGAAAAAAGTAAGTACTCGAACAAAGTTGAAGTATGAAAATTTCTTCTGAACTGTCAGAAGCATTTCTAACCTTAATGATTCTGTTCTGTGCTCAAAAAAGCACACAGGAGACGAGATAAGATAAGATAGGACAAGACAAGACATAGATATCGCAGAAAAGTGAACAGAATAATCATTTAGTTTAGACTGTAAATTTAGCACATTTGAACTTCCGTTTTTTCTCTCGCTTTTTTTCCTTTTAATTTGCGCTGAAAGACTGAGAAAAGTATTTGCAGAAAAGAAGTTAGAAAAAGAAACAAGCGAATGAGACTGCGATTCGCCTTTAGTGTGCGTGCATTCCGATGTTTGTTATCAGTTGAATGAATTAATGAACGAATTACAGAATTTCATCTGTTTTCAGTTGCATCTGATAATCCATTTTTCAGTATTTCCTCTCTGCCATCAAATATGCTTTTTTAATTGATATTAAAAGGGTGTGAAATGTACGACTGCAATAACATAGCAGCCCTCATTCAAATATTCAACCATCACACATTGCATTGCCTGTACGAATGAATAAATGATTATTTTCATTGATTGTTACTCATTCTTCTCTGCTACTCCCAACTAACTGACTAACTTACTTACTAACTAACTAACTAACTAACTGACTGACTGACTGACTAAATAATTGATTAATAAGTTAATGCTTTGTGGAAATAAATAACTGAAAGTCATTTTTTTCTTACTTTTAAAAATTTTGCTCATTCGTTTCTTGTTTATTTCATATCGTTTATTTATTTTTATCATTGCTTAAGTGTACAAAGTGATAATATTCATCAGAGACAAATCACTTCCATCAAAATGGCAGAATTTTTTATTTTAAAAAAAAAATTCACTTTTATTAATTTGAATATACTGAAAAAGCATAATTTTAATCTGTTCGCTTGTTTGTCTTCTGACTTCTGAGCTATACTTTCAAAGAATTATAGTTAATTGATTTGTATTTATAATTTAATTGCAAATTATTATTTTTGAGAAATAGTGCTGAGATTGGTTTTGAGATTTGCTGATTGTTATCATATTATCTGATACAGATCTCTTGTTCCCGTACTTTTTTTTATGCGTTCTGGTTTTTAATAAACTTTCTTGCATAAGAAACCGAAATTTATTAATCTGTGAATATATAATTTAATTCTGAAAAAAATATGGCTGGAATTTCCTGTTCCTATACACAGCGTAAAACATGTGCTTCTTGCAACTAAGATGATTGAATCAAACGATCAATTTGCGTGAAAGAAAATATGATAATGACGCATTCATTTACTCACATTACGTTACTATCTCCCTTGAGCAGAATTAAATTTCATACTGAGTCTGTGTTATTTACAAGATGGAGTTGTCCATTTGCTAGTTCCAAGAAGAAAGAATGACTCAATGTATTCATCTCAGTTCTCCTTTCTGCATAATATTCTTGCTGAATCTTTCAAGTATTATCACTTGGTTTGAGATTGTTTCTCAAAACTTTTAGCGCTGAAATTGACTAAAATGTTCGAAATTAATTTTTTATTTTTCCGTTATAAAAAAATTAAGCCAATAAAATTTCTGTTAAATATTTATGTACATGTATGATTTATTTTGCATTTATAAGGATATTTTTCAATCACATGAGAAGAAAAATTAAATAAATAGGAACTTTAAGCAATGATTAATTGGTCACTCAAGTTGCACACAGCATTTTTAGCCTAATTTTCAGGCAATTCAATCTTCAAAATGAATTTATAAATTAAGACATATCAGCAATATAAATTGTTATTTCATCTGAAGTCAAAGAACTATTACCACTGTTGTTTTTTCTGAATATTTGATTCTCAGGAATAACAATTATTGTTACACACAAGGTTATAGTCTGTAAAATTTTATGTATAATACTACTACTTTCACGTTATTTTTGACGTTAAAGCAATGAAGTCAGTGAATATTGAATACAAGCTTTATTGCTTCCTAATCATTACGTTCATGTTTATTTCAAGTTATGAAAATTGCGGTACAACATCAGATACTTGTACATGGGTTGTAGATTTAAAGCTGTTTTCCAAATTTTTCACGTAGCATCTGAAATTCAAAGCTGTTGTTTATTTCTGTCACATTTAGTCAGTAAGTGCGATAAAACTAAAAAAGAGAAGAAATCAAATGACTGTTCACAAATAAAGTAGTGAAGGACTAAGCGCTCGACAAGAAAGGGCTGCGTTAAATATAATTGCTTATATTTTTCTGTATTACATTGCTTTTCTGTTTTTCTAAGTGGATCGATTGCTCTGCGTAGTTTTGCATGGTTCAAGCATGAGTTCAGTTTTCTGTGTTTTTATATATCAGAACTGGCTTGATTCTTCAAAATTTGGCTACATATGCAAAGTGTGGCTAGTCTTACATTTGCACACCGTAAAAAGTTACGAGTAAAAGCAGTAATTAAGACATCCACGTGAACTCGTCGTTTACTTTCATTGGCATTGTTAATCACTGCTATGCAAATGCATGAGGTAGAGATTATTTGAAACTTTACTTGCAATACTAGTGTATTCATTTCAAGGAGAAAAATTGTCGTAAATTTTCACTTCAAACTTTGCAAATAAATTTTTTAAAGAAAAAGCCTTTGGAGAGAGTGAATTTAGTCTCATGAATGTTCCAAGAAAAGAAAATTGCTTGAATCATTTTTTAGATACATACAGTGAACGTATAAGAGTGTTACTGCAATTTGAAAAACATGAACAGTTAAAGTAAGAATGAAAATAATCTGCACAGTTCAAGCAGATGAATGAATTTGAAGTTAAAATTACTTTTGTACTGAAAATCTTTCAAATAACTAGCTAAACGTGATCGGAATTGTTCCATGTAAACAGTAAAAAGCTGACAGTACAATTACTAGAAGTCAAGTAATATAAAGCTTTGGATGAATGAGTATTAAGTATTAAGTCAAGCTATTCACGTACGCTAGCAAAGGAAGCAAGTAATTGTCATGGAGAAGTAGAAAAAATTTGGTTTTTTTTTGTCACGGATTTTTCTTTTTTTTGTCTCATCTTTGATTGCAATGATGTAAAGCGCAGGTGGTTCAATATCAATAGTTTCTGACATAGAGAAGCTGTTACTCTAGTGCTTCTGCTGCATCGCTTTCAGATGTGTGCTTGGTGGAGTACTTTTTTAGCAAAAGAGAAATTAAATGATTATACCAATGCATAATCGGTTAGTTACGTGTTGAGTGAAGAAACGTTGCACACCTTTTCTCGCCTTTTTCTTGTTAATTTGTTAAGAAGAAATTTTGATTACAGCTATTTAGATTTTTAGTATATTACTTGTGAATTAGTCATTTGTTATGAAAAGTTTTAATGATATTTTTTTCGTTATATACGCTATTTAAGCATATTTTTTAGTTGTATTCAACGTTATGAACATACATACAGTTCCATAGTTGCTTCATCCATTCATTCCTGTTTCAAGATTATGAAATTAGTATTTGCATGATTATTCTGTAATTACTATTGACCATGTTTTTTGATGGCTCAGTTCTGTATTTATTATTGTTTTCAAGCTTCTTTATTATTGGTTTTTTACTTAGTGGTTATATATCAGTAAATTTCAGATGGAACTCATCAGAATAGGTTGAATTAGATGATATGTCTAAAATTTATATTCCGTCAGATATATTGTTGTCAATATTCGCGAAGTGATCAAAGAAATACTGATTATTTTCACATAGTTTTGACACTAAGATATATTTAAAATTTACAAAGTTCTACAAAATTACTGCGTTTTGAAACTGATCCCCTGGAAAATTTTACTTCACTTTTGGGCATCTAATTTATGATAATTTTCCATGTGATATAGTTGTAATGAATTCTTTAGGGAACTGACAGTTTTTAATTATCAGATACTTATGGGAGCGTTGTAAGTGAATGAACATAATACGCATGAAAACTTATGATGCTTTGAATTACTAACAACTTTGTTCTACTTGCTTATCACTTTATTTTCTGAGAAATTTCAAAAAAAAAATCTTTGGGAAAGAAATCACTTTATCTGATGAATAATGACTTTTTGTATCAATTTATGTGCGCAAATTTTCAGTCATAATAAAAAAGTGAAGAAAGAGATGGGAAATATTACTGTGCTAATTTAAGTCTGCTTTTTCTGCCTTATACCAGGTAACAAGAATATCACGTTGCATACTTATATCTTTAAGAAGGTAAAATTAAATTTCATTGCTTTTGGCAAGGAATGAAGCGGAGCTTTTCAATGAACAGTCTTAATTCGATCTCACAACATGGAATAATGTTGCATTCATTCGCTAATGGAATGCGCAGGTCTTTCTTTTTTGCTAGATGCTTGTATATTTGGCATAATGCAAATTGTATTCTGATAGATTTTCATTTCTTATTTTGTAATAAATTTTGGTATAACAAACTGTGAAATTGATAAACAGAAATCTAGCGATTTTTATTTATTTGTTTGTCCATCATCATTTACCAACTCTACGTATTTCAGAAAATCGGCATCGCTTTCTAGTTTTCATAAAGTAGATTTATTTCGACAATCTTTTCGATCGACAAGCAGCTTTTCTTTGCAATTTCTTAGTCATAAAGATCAAGATTTTATTGATGTGATTAGCATTGCTGATGGCGATGATATTATTCTCAATTCATCGATAAATCCTTCCACTCAATTTGAAAAGGAGCGTATTGTGGTCTCATTATCAGATCTAGATAGAGAAATTGAATCTGCTTATTGCTCAGGTATTCAATTTTTTTAAAACTTCTTTGAATAGAGTAATCTTTTACTGAAACAAATCATGTATTTTATTTAAATGTTACCCAGTTCTAAATGTTACAATATGCTTAGATTTTTGCCAATTTATATGTTGTAACCAATCTTACAACACTGCCTTGCGTTATATTAATCATTATGCGTACCTATAGGCATTGGTAAGACTTTAAGAAAATAGTTTAAAAATCATGAAAGCATCAGTTAGCTTCCTTCGTTTCTATATTGCTTATCAATATATAAAATATGGTAACTCTTTGAAGTATATGTTGTATTTTTATCAGCATTTTTAAAAGCTAGAAAATGCTAAAATATAGAAAAAACGCAACAGCGTTTTTAGTTTCTGTACTTGCAATTCAGGCTTTTTTATTTATAAAAAATGTCATAGGGAAGAATCTAATCTACAGTACTGTCTCATCACTCAATCATGATAGATTTTTATTCTTGCAGGATTTAATTTGTAATTTCATGGTAGTACTTCACATTGAACACTATGCTTTTTTGGTTAATTTAACAGTTAATTGCTGATTTAAAGTAAGAATTCCTTAACTGCCTATAAATTCCTTATTTTGAAAGGGCTTGAAGAGATGCAAATATTGTCAAAAAATCATTTTAAGATTTTAATTTTAGAAAGAAGAAGCTTAAGCTTTGGCGATGGAATTCTACCAACTTCACAAAAATTAGACTTTTACGAGAAGTCGGATAAAATTCCACAGTTTTGTGAAGATTTGAGTGCATTAATAAAAGAATCTTCTTTTGAAACTTCGATGCCATATTTCAGTTCAGGACGCAGTATTTCATCAGACCACGGTCAATTATTTGTAACTTTTATGTTGCTGTTGATTATTAGTTTTTGAAAAATTCAACTGAATCTACATGTTTTATATATTGATCTTTAACTTTTATATCCAAGTATAGTACTGTGTCATCACTCATACTGAAGTTGAGTTTTCATTCTGCTCGATATGCTTTTGATTATTTTGCCGATCATACACTTTCCTTTACATCATTATTACGTTTTTTTTTTAGATTCTCTATACCGTGGAATAAACAGGAACGATTCAGAGTATTTCCTAGCAGATACTAATTATATGACCGATGATCATAGTTGCCAGGTTATTTATCTTATCTTCTTCCAAAGAAAATAGTTTTTACTAGCTACATCCACTTAATTTTCCAAAGGCATTTTGTCATTATCCTACATCAATTGAGTATTGCATTTGAACTATTGTTTAAGGATTTAAAGGATTATTCTAATGATTTATCATTTAACAATGCTGAGAAGTTGCCTATTTTATACACTGCTGTTGGAAGCGCACTGAATTTCGCTGCGCAAGTGATGAAAATTCCAGCAATTAGCTCAAAAGACCGAATTGGGGAAGAAGATTCTATTAAAGAGCTTACAAGGCAACAAGAATTGAAGTGCGCCATCTTTATTTATTTCGATATTTAACTTTGCAAGGAATCTGAAACTTTCATTTGCAGTATTTTTTTATCTCACCAATTTGTGTTAATTTGTCATATGACCATCAGCAAAAATTAAACGTTTTATTACCAAACTTTTTTTGAGTTTTTAAAATATGAATCTATTCTTCTCGTACACTCTAAGTAGCTAGACTCTGTATACATGCTATTAGTTAACTAAAACATGTTAAGGAATGGTTGACTTTGTTTTACCTTTATTTGTGTAGGATCAAAAGCCAGTGACTGTTGGGATGTTTTAGTTTCAGAAAATATTTAACTTTTACAGTGAAGTATATGCTGAAGATGATCGTTTATCGTTGTGCTGGATGAATTCACAGTTAACCACTCCATCATCAACATACGATAAATTTGTCACTGCTTTGTCGGATTCTTCACGTGAATTAAGCGTCATATCTGAACACACTGATTCTAATCTGGTAAGTTTCTATTATAGGTGGAGAGTTCATTCGGTCCGTAAAACCACATTTTATGGTAGAAGGAAGACAATTAATTTGCTGAATTTGCAGTATTTTTCATTTGTCTGAACAAGTCTCATTAAAATATTCTGCAGTTCTGTGATTGCAGTGAAATTCTGAAGAGGACATAAATTTTATTAAACTGAATACCATTATTTACATGTTGCTTGTTTATCAGCAGATCTTCGAGTCGGTTTTTTTAAAGAATAGATGATTCGTATTTATTTTTTAATTGTTATCAACTCAAAATTTTAATTCGTTTGCTGCAGATTCATTACGGACTATTTTTATAGGGAACAGGTGAAAAATATACCCTGAATTCACCTCCGGATGAGTCTGAGTTGGTAGCTACAAATGTACCAAATTCTTTTCATAAAAAAAGCATTGATGTTGGGGGCATTATTGCTCAGCAACATCGCTGCCATTCCGTGGAAAGAAACGTCAAAAATATCTATATACAAGATGTAATTCCTACTCTTTCTTTTGTTCCGATATCAGAAGAGAATTTTTTTTTGCTAGTTGTAGTAACAACTCTTAATTAATGAGCCTTGTTTTTTAAGTTCTTTCCTGTATAAACTTAAGTGTCATGTAATGTAATATGGCGCATGTTTCACTGAGAAATTTTATGTTTTTCAACTTCATTTTTATGTTTTTGTTTTAGCTCTATTTTCTCGATTAATTTAGAAATCCAGAAGGAAGCCGATACTTTTGCGTGCTTCACCGACTCGCAGTGGTGAATTTTCGACAAAATGTAAGAGCCAAATGGTTTTAGAAGATGAAAGTGATTACATCAGAAACTGGGCGAGACTTGAAGTGCCGGATAGCATGCGAAATTTGTCATCTTCAAGTCCAAACGTCAACGGAATGATCATGCCAACAGATGAAGGTTATTATTAGGAAATTCATCAACTGTAGCTCTACTTAAAAAAATGGTATTGCAATAAGCAAAGTGAAAAAATCAATGCTGCTTCTAAAATCTATTTTTATGCGATTTTTCAATATTTCTATTTCTTCTCAAGCTTTGCTGGTATCTGAGATTTCAAAATTTTGTGTAGCTTAAGTTGTTTTCGATTACACGAATCTTAGCAAAATTTTATGTGTATCTGTTATTATTATTATTCTTCTGAAAACGGTTGACAAACCTTCTCAGGATCAGAATAATTATGTAAAGTTTTTTAGTGGATATTAAGGAAACTAGTCGAAGTTTGCAACATTGTACGGAAAAAGAACAAAAAGACGCTCATAAATGGAAGGAGGTTTTACCAGTTACATTTGGGCCCCATCAGGTATAGCTTTTTTATTAATAGCAAAATTGAATTTTATAAATAACTTTTCCCGCTAGTAGTGTATCTGATTATCGGGTTGGTATGTGCACACCAAAATTTATATGGTGTTTTAAGCTCATTTATGAATGTTGTATGTTGTATCAAATGATACTACTTCTACGAATAACTTTCATGAGAAATTATTTTTTTTAGTTTTCTCATCATTGAAAGCTTATAAAAATGTAAACCAGATTAGTTATCAATCTTGAATTTGGAAATTGATTGATTAGTTATCAATCTTAAATTTGGAAATTGATTGTTCTATGATTAATATGAGGTTTTCTGATTTTTCAGTTTTATTAAATGTTGCTATCATTTGGGATCTTTGGTAAATTTTACATTTAGTTTCAACTATGCAACATTGCATGAACCAAAATGGTTATAGCATTATTTTTGTTGTTTGTAAAGTGACTTCATGTTCTACAGCAGTTATTATCCATACTGTTTACGTTATGTCCATGTGATGTGAATTAATTTACAGTGCAGTTAGATCGATGAGATGAATCAACTGCCATTTGTGCAAGATGTTGTGTTTTTTGTATTTAAGTTTAGAATTTGTATTTAATTTTCTACAAACAGTTTTACAGTTTCTCTTGTACAGTTGAATTATGCTAGCTTTTGATTATTTTAATTATTTCGTTTTCCAGTCGTTTGTGTAAGATACGTTTATGAAGTGTTAAAGATTGATTTTGGAAGTTTCCTTCGCTTTTTTTTAAAAATAGATGTGAAAAACTTCCAGGTAATCGGACCAGTTCGGCGATCTTCTCAGACATCAACTCGAAAAGCTCCTTTCAGGTTTTTATCTTCATTTCTGTCCTAGAAAAGTACAATTGGTGTTTTTTTAAATATGGTAGAATGTTTTTTATAGTTCAGCATCTTTAAAAATATGACTGAAAATAAAAAAGTATATGTTTTAGTTCCATGAATCACGAGAAGAAAGCTCGAGTTGACAAAAAGCATTCAAGAAAAGGAAGTGCACTGTTCGATTTTTTTCGCGTTAGTAATTTACATCATATTTCTGTTAACGTTTTCGATTTTATGTTGGGAAAATTTAACATGCATTCTTTTTACAAACTTCGAAGGGCTCTCATAAATTGCTTAATATTAAAGTTTGCAATAATATAATATTGCTTTGTTATATGAAGAGTAAGACTTAGTGCAGCGTGTTTTGCTGGATTTACTTTGTGCACTTCTTGTGATCGGGTTATTTTATTTTTCAGGTCTAAGCCATCAAAAAAAAAAGAACTGAACCTCTTAGAAGTGAATACTTAATTTGAGTTATATGTCACATCATAATTGTATTCTTCTTGCTTATCATATCTCATTCAATTGCATTATGTCTTTGAATTTCAGAAATCTGATCTAAGATCTCTTTCGGATATTGTAACACCGGTTTCCGATGTAAGTTTATTACCTTCACTTTAAGATCTTTTTAAAATGATTTTGCTCATATTTCGGAATATTAGTCTTCTTAGAACTATTTAATTTAATTATCATGTTTTCGTATTATGTATCACCAAAAATTTTGCGAGTTCATCATTAATTTTTTCATCGCTGACTCTTTGTTGTTTGTTTTGAATTACATAATATGAAATATGTTTTTCAATTACTTTCTAGAGACGGTCAATTGCCGCGGAAGAATTTGATGGTTAGCTTTTAATTCCATAAAGTTTTTGTTCTACTGATGGAAATAAGCATTTATTAAATTTGAAATGATTTTAGGTGATTATTCAATTTTTTTGGTCAAATTTTGATTACGAGCATCATAGAACTTTAGAAAATTAACATAGGCGTATCGTGACATCAATACAAGATGTGGAGAATTTTTGAGAAATCAGTTCTTACGAATGAATAAAATTAATTATTTTTGATTGGTTCTTGAAGTTTGTTTGCTTTCTTTGTCATCTTTTTAAAATACTAACTTTCATTTACAGATCTACCTGATAGTCTTGCTAAGGCGATATTAGATAAAGTACCAAATACAATAGCTTCCAGCGGTGGTCGTCATTTAGCCGCACACTTCAATAAAGAAACACATCGATTCATTCCGCAAGTGTGAGAGTGTTATTTACAGTTATTTATATGTGAAACATTTTTTCCACTTGTTATCCGTCTCATTTTTGTTTTTCTTTGGGCTACTTCATATACTGTTTTCAAATTTTTTTTAGCGCTTTTTGATTGATTTTATAAAATGTCTGCTAGAAATCAGGATTTTTATTTTTTTGTCGATGGAATATGTGTAACGAGGTATTTCGACAATTTTTTTGTAGCAAGTTTGAAAACTTAAAACTTTTGCATTTAGAAACAAGCCAAGATGGGCTGATCTAAACTTGTGGAGCGAAGAACTGGCAGTGTGGTCATATAAAAACTGTAATCTCAAACTAACTAAGAAGGAAAGAAAGAAACAGGATATAATTCATGGTAAGTTTTCAGTAGTTTGAAAATATTGCATAGGAATGACTGGTCTGCATAGTTTAGTCCATTTCATGCTTCCTTATTATTTTCAGAGCTATATTTAACCGAAAAACATCATTGCCAAGTGTTAGTGATCCTCCAGCAAGTTAGTCCCCTTTACTTGTTTTGATTTTTCTAATATCTATTAATGTTAATGTTTTTCTTAAAATCATAGTATAGATAGAGTATACGACTACGGATAAAAATATTATTATACTTTTTAAGCATTATTTTCGGAAATCTTACTTTTTACCTTTTTATGGTGTTCGCAGTTCACTTGATATTAATTTATATATAATAATTTTATCATATAACTATTTGAAAAATATTTCAAACATTTTTAGGTCTACCAAGAAGGACTTCGCATTAATGGTATTATTAATGAAGAAAAACGAAGCGAATTGATTCCTCCTGTACTTGACGCATTACTTGACTTTCATCTCAATTTGTTGCGTCAGCTTCGAGACCAAAAACTCAAATCAGAAATAGTCGATTCAGTTGCAAGTATTATTTACTCAGAGGTATCAATTCATTTTTTTAAGGTACTTTTATTTGAATAAAAATAATTTCTTCCATAAAACAAATTTCTCTGGTTCTGCATTAATTTTGTTTGATCACATCGTTTTTTGTATAATTTTGATTGTAGTTTGAAAAAGGAGAAAGGAATCAAGCTGCAATTCATGCCTATACTGAATTTTGTTCTAAATATGATCAGTGTGGCCGCCTTTATGATGAATGGATGATAAAGAATATTGAACTTAGAAAATTTTTTGATGTAAGCACTTTTACAATTTCTTCAGACTAAAAATTGAAAAAAAAAGACAAAACAGTTATGACTTGTATTGCAAACGACTTTTAATTATATTTCCAAGATCCTTTTGGGAATACATTCAAAAGCTGTTTGCAAAATGGTTTCTCGATCTGTTTTTGGTTTTTCATTTTTTAGCAATATGAACAAGATCCAACGTATAAGGGACGAACGTTCAAAATGTGCCTGCTTCTAGTAGCTCAGAGGCTAACTAAATATCCAGTACTTGTAGAAAAAGTAAGTGAAATCACTTTCTTACACTGTTCATATTTTAAAAAATCAATTTAATTTACTTAGTAACTAGTTGACACTAGAAAAGCATTGGTAATTTGCCTGAAGATAATAACAAATAGTTGCATTGAAGTGCAATACTTCAAAAACTCTTGCAACTGTTTTACTGTTGCTGAGCCTTTTTTTTCTATTTTTGTGGTTTTTCATCTCAGCGTTGTAGATTGCTGAAATGGAAAGTGATTCTGCAAAAGATGAATGTTTAAGAGCTCATCAAGCTGTAAAAAAATTCGCGATGCATGTGAATGATGAAATCACAAAATTAGAAGTAAATAAACGTTGGGACGTAGTTCGTTCACAAATAGATCATTCTTCAAAAGGGCGATTTGGCCCGAATGATTTTTTCACGGTAGTTCAATTTTATATTGAAATTTTGTAGTTTTTTTCTTTTTTTTTTTAATTTTTTATATAAAAGATCATGTACATTTAAAAACAGCGTCAAAATAAAGAATCATTAGAGCATAAAAGTATAGTTAGCTGCAGTAATCTGCTCATTTGTTTCAGATTCTTTGCCCATTAAGTTTTGTTATTTTTGTATATGGAATTTTCTTTTCACTCTTTTTTCCTTCCTTTTTCCTTTGAATAATTTAGTACGATGATCTTATATTAAATGGAAGTGAAGAAGAACGTCGAGTAATTTGCATTGGTTCCGCTGTTTGCCAAAATTCTCAAAAAAAACCTGAAGGCACTGGTATGCATGCTTTTCTTGAAGTATATCGCTATATGAATGTTATTCATACTCTGATCAACATTATGAAAAATTCATAATTAGGTAATAATCCAATTGTGATTCGATCACATTATATTTATATATTATAGAAGTTGTGGTAATATTGTTTGATGATATCCTTATTATGTTGGCAAATTCAAACAACAATAAATATGTATTTCACGATCGTGGATCTGGTGTAAGTTATTGAAAATCTTGGCTTTGCCATATTTTGGTTGATTTTTTATTTTGACTGCTTCGTCTAGCAACAATTTGCATTCAAATTAATAGTAGTTAATGATTAAATTTTTTTTAATGATCAAGGGAATTTTGATTTTTTGATAAAGTTTATTTTACTTCGATACTCGATATTGAAATGTAGTTATATGAGAATTCATTCGTAAAAGTATTTTCTTGAATGTTTTAGTGTTCAGTGATTGCGCTAAATAAATTGTTAGTTCGTGAAGTTCCTCGAAGTACGAAATTGTTTTTTTTGCTGTCTGATGATCCATGTCCTGATTTATTTGTTGTAAGCTTTACATCAAAAGCTGATGTAGATAAATGGAAAAAAGCAATTGAGTTATCAAAGAGTGTAGCACCAAAGCATGGTTAGTTTATTTCAATATTTTATTAAGCCACGGGTTTCCAAATCAGTTACAGTTACGAGAGGGTCATTTTTGCTTAATAAATTTGGTCAGAAAATAAGTCTGACAGAACATTTTAAATCAGAGAATGTTGTGACTATTGTAGAATTTATTTGGAAATAATTGAAAACTAGTGTATTCACTTAAATAGATTGTATTTTAGTTTGTGGCCTTCATGTGAGCATTAAGCTCAAATTTTTTCCCGTCCTTCACTTAATTAATGAAAACTAACTACACTATTTTAGTGATAAGTGGATATTTTGCGTTCAGTTGAGGTAATAATGCTTATAGGAATTTCAGCAATAAAGAAATGTTCATGTTTTTCTCAGTAAAATATATAATATATATGATGAAATCTGTTGATAAAAATTTTCATAGATATGATATCGTTAGAATTCACATGACATTTATATACTGTGTACTGCTTACGCCTGACTACAAGTTCTAAATAAGAATTTTATGTAAGCATAAAAAATATAAGTGGATTCTAATGTGTAATTGCAACTAAAGATGTTTTTTGCATAATTGTCTTCGAGTATATGTGAGTCTAAATTTGTCAACTTTTCAACACAAATTTCATTTGAAAATTACAGTTAGACGTGCAGCAGTTGCAAGTGGCTTGAATTCGCTAGACGACGACCCGGAAGAAAGAAGACTCAGTCAAGAATTTGGCCTCTGGGAAGGAAAACTACGTGAACTTTTTGGCAAGCTTTTATTGTTGGGATTAAATCAATTAGGTTTAAAATGCATTCCTTGACAATCGTTTATGAGTCATAACAATATTACTGGTGTTCATACAAGTAAGTGTTCTTCTAGAAATAGGTAATAAGTTAGTTTTAATTTTCGTTTAATATCGTTTTCAAGCAGGTTAAAACAAAGTTGGTTGTTGCTAGAATGCACAGTTTACTTTCACACTTTTTTTCACCTTCACTAGCAATACTGAAGAAAGACTGCAGTAAATTTTAAAGTTAAATCTGCTCAACTTCGTCAATAGTTTTTAATTTCATTTTTCGAAATGAAATAATCAAGAATGATTTAAATTTATTAAAATTTATTGCCATGTTGAAGCAGTTAGGTAATGGTAAATTAAAAGTAATTTTCTTACGAATTACTTTAGAAAAGCGAATCAGAGATGAAAAAGAATTATCAAATTACATTGAAAAACGATTGATATGGTTTGAACAGCTTCGCTCGCATATAAGGAAGGTTCCGTTAATCGATCGAACGGATGGGAATCGACATGCTGTGAGAGAAAAAGTGAAACTTTAGATTTTTGTACTCATTTAATTATTCTGTTTTTTCATTTTTTCTATTATTTACTCAGAATATACTCCTAAAAAATGTGGGAGAAGTAGTCTAACGGTTATTTCCATTTTAGATCAAAAATTTGGTGAAGACAAAATTTGCTGAATTACGTTCTGGAAGACGAATCTCACTGAGTAAAGGTTAGTACCGTTACGAATTGAGTAACGTTTTTGACTTTAATGTCTGTTGCAGTGTTTTCAAGCCGTAAAGAAATACAAGCTCATGTGAAATACTAAAAGTTTATAGTCTTTTTTATCATATTTTTTTATAGTGGCGGAACGTGCTGAAAAAATGTATGAAGACGATTTCATGTCATTCTTTGACGATGCTTATGATGCTGATGTTGGTGCAGGAACTTCTGATTCGAATCATTCAACTGATCAAAGTGAAACTGATGAGGGTCGTCCAAAGCTTCCAAAAAGAAATCGAACTTTTAGCGGTATTGGCGAACGTAGAAAAGGTAGCATACATAAATTCGTCTTATTGCTTTTCAAGTTAAGATGTTTCAAGTTTGAATACTCATCTAAAAAATGTTAGGATTTAAGTCTGAAATAGCCTATTTTAATCCTCATCAATTAATTTTTATATAAATACGAATATTTGATAAGTCTCATGTAATTTTTTTCTATCATCAGGTGGTTCTGTAAGACGACATACAACTGAGGCGAATATGGCAGATGGAAAAACTTACAGCGATGTTCATGATTCTGTAGCAGAAGAAGAAGGAATGATGAAATTACCGGTTACTTTCAAGCTTATATATTATGCTGTGGGAAGCCTTTTTTTTCTAATTTTGATTTGAAATAAAAAAGACTTTTAAACTTTTTTTTTCAAAAGGTTGAGTATCCAGCAGTACTTTTTAGCACTCTTTGTAGTCTCAAGAGACATCACATAAAAATTTTGTTGCTATATATGTACAAGTTTGCGTCAGTCTAATCTGTGAATAATGACCCTTACGACTACAAATTGACAAGTATTATAATTATGATGAAGATCTAATTAAAACTCCTTGTAGTTGCTTTTGGGGCCCATGGCGCATCGTTTAGCTGCAAGCATAATTCGTGAAAATGCTCAATTGAGGGTTGAAAACAATCAGTTGCAAAGCGAAATCGCATTGTAATTTCTACTTTATATGTACCATAATTTCAACTTATCATTAGTTTGACTAATTTTATTTGCAATTTTTAAAGTAAATTTCAGTTTCAGAGAAATCATTTCTTTGATTTTTAGTTATCCAAACAAATTTGAAACAATTGCAAGACTTATATAAATTGTTAAAAAAATATTTTTTGCAGAAATCTGAATTATGTAAAAAAATTACAAATAAAATTAGTCAAACTAATGATAAATTAAATTATTATGTAATTCAGTGACATAAGCTTACACTAAGACTTTTGTTTCCTTATGTTGGAGAACTGAAGACATTTTACGATAATTGTATATGACCTATCTCACCAACAAACAATTATTAGTAATTTACATAATAATAATAATATTCTTACTCTTATCTTGCTTGAGAACAAATTTACTCACTTTTCTTTCTAAATTATATACTCATTGTGCGATTGATCATAATTGCCTTAAACAATTGGTTAGAAATCAGAAAACTTTTCCCTTGACATGTTCTACGAAAACTATATTTGCCAACATAATAGAGTTGTTCATTTTTGGCAATCTTTTAAGTAATTTATTGCAATCATCGTATTTTAAGAACTGTGTAATACTACTTTATCAGCTGATCTTATCAGTTATAAGAAGACATTTTGTTGTCGGTATGTATAAATTTCTAAACACTGACAAATTGCTTATGAGATTTGCAGCCGTGAGTTGCGTATTGCATCATTAAAGAATCGACGTTTGGCGGCCATTCCAGCAAATGCATTGGAAGCATTACGCAACAAACAGAATGAATTGCAGAACGATAAACGCGAATTTCAAGTATTTTGTGAACTCCAAATGGGTGAGATAAATAGTCGGACTGCTGAATTGTTACAAAAAGAGGTACCATGCACAATGAAAGTTTAAACTAACAAATAGACTTGAGTATTGAGTACAGTGTAGTGGTGAGATGTATGAAGAATAATTGTTGATCGGCAATGAAAAAATATTTTAATAATCTCTTAGCACAGTGATTTGCACTATATCTTAAGCTATTTAAGACTGAGGGATGTCGTTGTTATCAGATTGACTGAGTTTGTTGCTTTTGTAATTTGCTAAGTTTGATTGTGCTAAGCATATTAAAAGTTGCTAGTAAAAGTTTGTGAATAAGATAATTTAAAATTGCGCGTACTTTTCTTTTTCGAAGAATTCCACACTTTCCTTTCGTTAGTTAGTTTGTTTTCTTTCCGGACTTTTGTATATTATTATAAAACATCACAGTTATTTTGCGTTCTTAGCAATTATCCAGTAATGAAAAATAATTTTTCACTGCTTGTCAAGTAATTAATAAAATTATTTTAATTTTGTAGTCAAAAATTGATTAATATTAAGAGAAAAGTAGAAAATTTGCTGGTATATAGTTTAAACTTGAGCTCATTATTCATTTTTATTCATGATACATTTCATATAAGCTTCTTTCTGTCTTTTCAGGCTGAGCTCAAATCTCGTGAACAGCAGTTACAGGAGCAGTGGACTAAATTTTATGAGCTACACAATTCGGATTCGCCGATTCATCTCTCACATGGTATTATGCGGCCTCTGTTATCATCGATTGAGCAATCAACGTGAGCATGTTTGTTTGATCATTCTAAACGAAAAAAGCTCGTTATTCAATGATGCAATTTAAATGTTTATTATGTGTATATAACATTCAAGTTTGAATTTGAAACTGAAATTTCAAAAGATTTCTCAGTCCTCTATTGAAATAGCATGCAGAAACTGAAAAACTTCTTGTGTATTAAAATAAAATAACTAAAATCATTTCGTGTGAAACCGTACGTACGCAGTAGGATTGCAAATGGCCTTTTAATATTTCTTGCAATTTTCAGATCAATACACAGTATAGCACCGCTCAGCAAATCTGCCAGTGGTTCGTCGATACCACTACATCTTGCGGAAAAAACTGCTAAAATTCCACGTTCAAAAAAATAAGGAAAGTATATTATTCTAGTGCTGTGCCTTCTAAATAATTTTCTCTTGAAATTTTATTTAGCACTATTCTTGAAAAAGTTCACTTTAAAGCAATCATCAAGTTTTTTATCATCGGAAGTATTTATGGCTTGTTGGGTGTGATTTACGTGTATGTGCATAAGTCGGGTTAGTTCATTAATAATAGCATTATTATTGGAACCGATTTAGGTGAGAATAAAAAAGATCTTGTAGCGACCATTACTAGCTGAATGTAAGAAATCATGCATGTTTTCGTGACTAATATATGTTAGATTCTTTTGTCTCGAGCGTATAGAATTTCTATTTATTTGTGTCCGACTCTATAAAATATATGAGTTAAAATGTTTTACGGGTTGTTGCGCAGTCAGCAAGAAAAAAACTCGTAATGCGTTTTTATTTCTCTTACATTATTTGATCTTGAAACTTGTAGAAACAACATAAATTTTCCTTTTGTTGGAAATAATAGATACATGATGTAGTTCATGATTTGACGTATTTAATCACTGATATTATGCTTTTAAATCACGTCAAAATTCTATTACACTTTAGAAATTATTTATCTCAGTGATTTATATTTGCAGTTTTTCATTTCTTCAGGCTATTTAAGTGTGTGTTATGATAACAGATGTTTGGCTAATTGATAGTTTTGTTTAATCTTTAAATTTTTCTTGCAATTGTTGATACGTTTTCCTTATTTTCAAAATTTTTCTTCACAAGTTGTTTCTTTATGGAAATGCATATTGTGCTTGTGCGACAATAACTTAATCGTGACAAGGATACGTATTGTTTTTTGTCTTGCTCATGTTTTTCAAGTCTTATTTTCGGTTCTTTTTATCATTTGCAAATGTTATATCTGAGGAATAGCATTTTCGAAGTTTTTTAAAATTCCAAGTTAACGTAGCATATTTTTGATTGATTCTTGGTACGTTGTACAAATAAAGACCAACTGTAAATGATGAGAAATCGGAAATTCAATTTTTAGTTACTCATGAGTAGCGTTTTTACGGTTCTTAATTGACTCGGATATGTACTAAACATATTTTGTCATGCATTCTTTACTGTTTAAGTGTTCCTTTCAGTTATAGATTTTTGTTAGCGTTTTTTTATTTGGTCATATTTTCGTGATACTTATCATATTCATTTACTGCACTAGATTGTTCTATCCTTGTTTTAGTTTGTCTATTACTGTTACATGATTATTTATATTTTCCGTAATAACTTTCGTTTTACTTTCGCTCAGTTTCCGAAAACTTCTATATTTGTTTGCTTTCTTCGTCGATTGATGAGTAAATTAATTGTTGTGTATAATTATTCGCGTGGAATTTGTTAGTAAACATTGACATTGAAGACAACTTTATGAATGAATTATAGTGCTTGATTGTAACAACGTGACGTGTCTTTTTCTTCTTACGCGAATTTCATGTAATGTGTATAAAAATATGATATTTAGCAGTTTGCGGTTAACTGATATATTTTTTTGTATTATTTATTTATTTGCGGTACTAAGATATGTTCAAAGGAGATTTGATTTGCTCATTTAAATGTAACTTTTGGTAATAGTCAAACATTTTTAACATTCGAATGCTTTAGATTACATATCTCAACCACACTAATCAAATGAATGTTATTTGTGACAACATATGTTTGATGAGAAATGTCCCAAATTTCTCGACATTTTAAACTGTTCGGCCCATAGAAATAATTGTAGCTCATAGTTGTTGCAGTGTAATAACAGTACTACTAGTCATTAATGCGAGATCGTAATCTCAATCATCATCAAATGATATTAATTTTATCTTACTTCTCACAGTAGTAACAACTATATATGACTCTGCTTCCTTTTACTGACCTTTTAAATCCTGCAAAGACTAATCTGTTATTTCCTCTCATCATCCCATTCAATCGTTCATTCATTCATTCAATCATTCACTCTATTCTAATAATATTTAACGATCGATTGCGGTACATGATAATTACGTTATAATATTTCATCAGATTAATATAAGGAGAAGAAATATATTTTTGATTTTACTACTAGTAATTAATTATTAATGGAGACTGATTAGAGAATACTTGACCTTGTGTGTTACTATCAGCAAAAAGCAAATTTCTTGTCCTTATCACTTTCTTTAATCAATGCTATTGTACTGCACCACATTTAATTGTACAGTTCCACTGAATTCTCGATATCAAAGTAGATCAAATAAAGATTGAAATTCAAATATTTTACACTTTTTTCAGCTGGCCAAGTAATAATTTTTTTTCTTGATATTTATGCTGAAAGAGACATGTTTCCAAGGATTTCCGCTTATGATGATTCAGTGTCGTCGTTTCGAAGGAATGAAGTTAATGAGAGTCAAACATAAACAACAAACCCTATCTTAGTTATTGTAGGGATTGTATTTAAATTATAATTGAGGTTAGGAACTGACAGCACACCTCACCTCCATCTAAACAAATGTTTTATATTTCACGATTCAGAGATGAATTTAAGGATTTAATTTTACTCTATTCTACAACCTAGTTTGTAATGCACATTATTATGATTATGTCGTTTAGTTATTCGTAAAAACTATATTTCTTTGAGCGGTCAGTGAATACTAAACGTAATGGTTACATAACTCATAATAAACAGTCTCCCTCACTTTTTCTATTTAGGATAAAATGTAATAATTACTTATGACTGCAGCAAATATTATTTTGATTGCTGACAGGTCGGATTGGTCACAGTATTAATATCTAGATATTACTGATAAAAAAATAATTATTTTGTTGAAAATGCATTTAGAGAGTTTATTGCGGTGAATTCAGCTATTATTTACCATAGGCAGCTATGTCAATATTTAGTCCAGAAAAACATTTTTTAATAAAAATCAGGGCAGCTATTTTATGTAAAGGCTTTTAAATCATTTCCAGATCTTATATTTGTAGCAAACAAATAATTTGAAATTATTTAATTTGTTAGAGATTTGTGTAGTATAAATTTCACTCACTATTGAATGCATATGACCCCAACGTAGACATATCTGTCGGTAAGAATCTGTCAAAATGCTACCGCACGTGTCGTCCATTCATCTATTTAATTTAATCCATACCAGATGTCTCTTTCTAGGAAGGCTGTAAAATGTGTGATATCGTTAGCAATTAATGTTTCCAACTTATCTTTTTCCATTCTAGCCAACATACATCTCTTGCCCTGAAAACATTTCGTAAAGATAATATTAAAGAGGGTATTAAATTCGTAAGGTCATGAACTGAAGTAATCAGGAATGTTTTGTTGACTTTTCTCATGAAAGTCGTGAATTCACTTGTGGTAAAAAATGCTCAAAAAATTATATCAGCTGCTGCATAAGGGCATAACGTCAAAAAATTATTCAACTTTTTATGCAGATTTGTGGGATTGTTTTTAAATGCCATAAATTTGAATATCTCGCAAAGTAATTCAACGGATAGAGTTGATTTCATAGTCTTTTTGAGCATTTCATGGCGCAATGAAGCGAAGTAATACTCTTCGATAAACTCAAAATAAGTAAGAAAACATATATTAACGAAATGATTTACAATGCATTAGCGCAACTTAGTTACTGCAATAGCAATAATTTACTACAGAAAATTTTTCTGGTGCTTAAGCCAAAGTATATCGTAAAACTGGCAGTGATGCAATATGTTTCCTCGCTTGTTACTAACATTTTTAAAACAGTTAAGATTTGATAGAGGAAGAAGATAATTGCTACAGATTCTGTCTTGACTGCACTCTTTAATAAAAATAGATCGAAAATTATATCAATGTTTTATAAATCCTAAATCTACTCATTTCTACCCATCCCTTGCCCTCAAACTTAGTGCTATCATATATTTCACCTTTATCCATAAGTGAAGAAACTAATTCACTTGTTTAATTATTAAAGCTTCAATACTTCACATTATAAGTGAAATTTACAACGACATTTGTTTAATTTTCACGTAAAGTTCCATGCACTGTCAAAATCAAAAAAAGATTGCTCAAAAAACTGAAATTACATTGAAAACTATCAGTTTTCACGTTTTAATATTCGTCACTAAAAAAAACGTGCCACAGTAATAGTATTCTTGGAACTCTTACAAACATTACAAACAAGCATGCAAAATTAATTTCTAAGAGTGCGTCGAGTTTTCGATTAAAGTGCTGAAATCTGGAAAAGTGAACATTATAATTAATTGCTCTTTCCTTCACTTATTTTTGTTCAAAATGAGCAAATAAGGCAAATAAATTTCCAGAGTTTTCAATCATTCAGTCGTTTGTTGCAATAATGTCAGTTTTGTATTTCTTGAATAAATTAATCAGTTAATTTGATAAAATATCAAATCAAGCTAATGAATAACTAATTGCTCATTATGAGGACCACAAAATGCGTGTTGGAATAATTATGAAAAAATAATGCTCATCTTGTAAAGCATAATTGGCACTGCAAAAATCACAGTTGGAGATGCTGGGAATAACTTAACTTCCAGTCTGATGGCTAACTCTGACAAATTAGTTCCCCTTTTTAATCACATCTTCAAAGTGATTACGCTAAATCTATTTATTCATACATAACATACAATCGGAATAACATTTTCGGATTGATTTTTACATTATTTGAAAATATATATTTGAATCCGCATTTAAAGAAATACTGAAATCAGAGATATTGGAACCGAATTAAATTTTGCAATTTATTTAAAAAATTATTGTAATTTACATTTGAATGCGTATGAATGAGCCTCCTTTGAGTGCGAAGAAACGAACGTTAACATTTAATCATTTCTTTGCAACTGAAAACAAAAAATCTCAATAGTCTTGAAATTAATTAATGTAAGCAAAAACAGTTTCTTTGATTGATCCGAATTTTAGATATCATCTTAAAAATGTAAAGAAATGATTAAAGATGGCTCTTATTTTAAGAATGATTTCTATTTTATAGTTTTTGTAAATAATCTCATTTTTTACTTTTTAAAAAAGGTTTCATAGTCTTTGAATTTTCTGGTTGCTTCGACTTTTTACGAATCACGACGTACGTAGAAGATCATCTGGTAGTTTTGTATCATTTTAATTACACGAAAATGTGGAATATTTTTGATCAAAAGCCAAATTTTCGTAAATAAATGTCTACTTCTTCGCATAAAGCACTAAACTGCCACATCACTTCGAATACTGCAAAGTATTTATTTGGTATCTTTTTTCTCATTTGAAAACTTGCCCAACTAGAAGTGTTATAAACAAATAATCCGTTAATTTGCTTCACTCCAATTTGTCAGTATTTTAAAAATTGAAACATCGTGGATGTTCCCAAAAGTGAGCCTGACAAGCACAACTAATAATAGGTAGCTAGAAATCCAGATTTCTAGTGATGATAGTTAAGACTGAAAATCTGAAGTACTTAAAATCTGAAGCTGCTGTTGCAAAGTATAAATTTTCATCATTAAAATTTAAATCTAATATATTATTTTCAGAAAATAAATTTAACGAGTCTTAATTTTCGAAATAATTAGAATACTAAATGCTCATTTAATGTTTTGCATAGACTATACAAGACCGAAAGCTTTGCAAGAAAATTATTTTACTAGAAAAAGTTGCTTTCATTAGAAGTCAAAAGTAGGCATTAAAACTTCTGCCAGCAAATGCAAAAAATAATTTGTTCAGCTGATAAAAAATTGTCCCTTAATGCTGATGTAGTTATTGCTGAGTTCTGAGGTCTTAATTCCTTGATTAAAAAGATTATTCGGTCTCTTAAGAGGTCAAAAATATTTGATAACACTCTGCATTGTACAGTATACACTTCATCTGTAATCATTTCTTGCTTTCTTAAAACGATTGAGTAGGTCATCTTTTAAAGGTCAAGACATGTCAGCCTTTTTTTATTCTTACACACTTATTGGTATCGAATTATTCTTATTTATATTACTATAAAATCCTCTTAATCGGAAGAGAATGGATATTCACTCAATCTTTATTCTTAAATGACGTTTGATTTAATACGAGTTAAAGTTAACCTTTCTATGCATACATATTTATATTTACATGCACAGACATAGCAAAACATAGTAACAAGGATTAACAGGCAAACTCAGATGACCTGTTTCGTAGTACCATAAATCCGGCTTTAACCTTCTTTGATCAGTAAGTAATCATGCATACAATTCTATTTATGCAAATAAGTAGATAGAAGTGAAGAAGCACCGCCAAAAACAGATAAATCTGTTGAGATTGGCCTTGCAAAAATTCGTCCTTATTTTCTTCTTTTCTCTCACAGAATTCTGTCACAACTTCAAATTACTTTTATAATCCTCTTTTACTAATCCATCAATGATGGCAAACATTGGCTTAGCATTAGTGAGTGGTAAAATACGCCACTACAGCTAACTTTCACAATTTATTTGCGTACTATAAAACTATTTCATGTAAGTGCTATTTTTGTCACTTAATCAACAGAGTTACTAATATTTTCGAAGCCAAATTTATCGTTCGTTCATTCAATACTTAGCCCGCCCGATTCTCTAGAACACTGCGAGATGAACATTTGCAAAACATTAATTCCACTTCCACCACATATAGACAGAGCTGAGATTATTTCAGGAAGCAAATTAATTTTTAATTGCATCCATACAGTCTTACGGTAATGCAAGATTTACAAGAAGTTATATGAAAAGTCATTATGGAAGTCTAACTTTTGTAACTTTTTTGTAAAATAAAAAAGTATGTTCTAGATTGTATCTAAAACGAAGCAACAAAATTTCGTGTTCAAAAAGAGGACATCAAACATAAGTGTAAACATTTAATCTACTGACTTATTGAAGCAATTATCGATGTGTACGACCTGCTTTTTCATCACTGATTTGTAATAAATTTATTTTCATGAAATACAATTCACACATACACACACAAATAGTGAAAAAAATTACAACAAACTTTTTGCATTGGATGAAAAAAACATCCAATTTTGTACAGTCAAATATGGCGTAGAAAAACAAAATAATAAATTTTGAAACTCTAAAAACAGTGCCAAAAATGTACAAATCAACAGAAAACAATTCACTTCCACAAGAAGACATTTTATCAGGCACTTACTTCACTAATTTAGAATAGAGTGGAAAAAGAAACCCGTTTCCTTTGAGAAAATGAAAGGAAGTTGCCGATTTAAATCAGAATTTATACAAACATGTAGTCTGGAAGTAGTGGTTCGGAAATCACATTATTAAAAATTTGTGATAGTAATTTCAGGAAGTTCATTAGTTAAATTCGAAAAACAAAGGTAGTTAGGATTTAAAAATTTTGAAATGGTCACTTATTGCATGTTTGTATCATATTAACAAATATTAATGTTTTCCACATAACGAAAGAATAAATTTATATTTATTTGCAAGAGTTTGTATTTGAATATAAAAAATTAAGCTTACCAATTTTCTCACAAACGGAATGCTTGTCATAGGAAAGATTCTGCATTTTTTAAGAGGAAAAATTTACTCAATCTTGAATGTAAATCGACTAATTTATTTCCAAAACGATTTTTTGTACGGAAAAAAGGCAAGCATAACAAAAAAAATGAAACAAGTTTTTCTGATTGAAAAATAACCTATGAAAGCTAAAATGGAAATCTGAAAATTAAATAATATGAGACAGAGGAAAAAATTTGCTAAAGCACCGAACAGTTCCACTGAATAGTGATAATATAACACCGTGATAGCTAGGAATGGCCTAACAATGACCATTAAAACCTTATCATGACAATAAATTAGTCTAGAGCACAATACAAGACATAGTGAACAAGAAAAACTACACTCGTAAGTAACATAAAAGTTGTTCTTTTATTTTTGTTGCGCTAGTTGAGTGGATACTAGTGATCCGTAATCTTCATTTCAATTTAGCTGCATCGCTAACAACAATCGATACTTTGTATTTCAATTTTGCATCATCAGATACTGATCAAACCTCTGATTTAGTCCATTAATTAATTGATTAACCAGTGATATGGCAATCTTTTGATTATGAGATGCTAGTGAAGGAGGCAAGAAGGATCAAGAGAGGTTTCTGCGACACTTTTCAATACTTCTTTTGCCTTCAGTGGCCGAGGAGAATACATCATCACAACTGCTGTTACTAGTATTTACGTATCTACCTTTGTCATTATTAGTACTGCCGGTTCTGCTCTCGTTATTATTGTTGTTGATGTTATCATTATCACTGTTATTGTTAATGAGAGGATCTGGTAGATTGTTACCATTGCTTTTCACTGAAGACTGTTTTGACGATGGAGAAGCAAGAGAGGTAGTGATATGATTGGATATTGTAGCCTTTGAACTTCGCCACTGTGTTGCTAGTCCTGAAAAATGAAATACCATTTTTAACTGAAATAAATAAATGAAGAAAATAATGATATAAAGATAAGTAAGCAAACTGTGCTCAGCGACAGAAGCAAACTTACTCGAACTATTACCTATCATCTACTCCTTACTAACTTCTATCTATGCAGTTCATTTGACCATGTTATAAAAAGTAGTCTTCTCTTAGCACTCTAGCATCAATGCTTTCCATGAGCGTATTACACTCAACGAAGATTTTAGGGCGAAATGAGGGAGTAGTATAAGTAAGAGTGTGAATTAGACAAATGAAGCAAATGCGATCTCATAAAATGATATGATATGATATGATTATATGACAATAACAATTAGATGATAATAATAGCAATGATTCTTGACGAAACGTGCCTAATGCCAGCTTGAAAAACAAACATAAATATCAAATTATGTTCTTCACTACTGCATTTTCTTTTTATTTATCAAAAAATATTACGATAATCTTAACGATCTACTCACATTTCTTAAATTTCAGCTTTTTTCCTTCATCAATATGATTATCTTGCTAATTTACAGAAACAAACGCTGACTTAATGACTTACCCAGGTGACCACTGAATAATCTCAATCTTATTTGATGCTACTAATCGATCTGATAATTTTGCTACTGTAACACCCTATCATGATAAATTCTATTGAATACAATTAGTGTTCTACACAGCACCTGATCTAATCTTTTCTAACGCAGAAATTCAAACTTATAAATATACAAGACAAGCCCTTTGAAAACATGCAAATTAGCGAGCCAGAATGAGAGCGAGATCATTTAGCCGTCCAGCATTAATTAATGTCTGACAAATGATAATTCACTTTGCATGTTTCACTTTCCTTTAACTAAAATTTTCACTTAACAAAAATGTGTCATAACTGATCTGATTTAGATCTAAAAGCAAAATTTTGAGTGGTTAAAGAAACTAATTAATGAGTCCATTGCGCTCAGTTACAATATAATCATAATTAGTAATTATGGTTATATTTTTGCTAATGACAATATCAATTTCAATATTAACTATAATAATGATGATAAAACTAGAATGAATTTACCCTATATTAATTTTATATTGGTGTCATTAGTTCTTCACTTTCCAGTAATATCTATTAGCCACTGAAAAAAAAAATTTAAAAAGTCAAAAAATGAATTTACTCAGTAAGAAAGGTATCATGTAAACACTGATTTAACTTGTTATTTTTCTGCTTTCTAATTATCTTACATCTATGCTGTTGCCATAAACAATCACTCTGTTGCATGTATAAATGCAATGATCACTTACACTCATAAAGTAAACTAAGAATGAAAAAAGTTTTCAATTTATTTATTCACAGAAAGTTATTTATGATTTATAAAATAATTTCTGCAAATGTCATTTCTAAAAACTAATTTAAAAATGCTCAGGATCAAACATTTCATGATGAAACAGCAGAGTAAACATGATGTTTTATTTACTCAACATTTTTGAGAAATAATTTTCATCTTATATTTGAATTCTCATCTTCCCCAGGTCAAAAACTAATTAATTATAAATATTTTATAGTCCCACTAAAATCGCTTATTTCTCCATTACTATATACATAACTCTTTGAAAAAGTTATTTTAAATACTTGAACAACTTTTACTTTAAATATCTGTGACTGCAAAAATGGCTATAAACGATTACAACAATAAAAGTCGTGACAAGTTAAAAGTGTGCTTATGTTCTTTTTCAGTATTTCATTTTGCCATGCATCAAAGAATAAGAAAAGCCCTTTTGTTGTCTAGGAAAATGCAAGGAGATAAGAAGTTTTGCTTTACATGCATTTTACTAGTTGGCAGATTATTTGCCAACCGGTTTATTGTGACACTTCTCTTGTACTAGTGATTCTATCATTACCTTATCAGCTAATTCAAACACATATTAAATCATGCTTGATGGCTTACAAGCAAAAAAAGCAAGGTGAAAGTTAATAGGAGTTATTGACATTTCTGATTACATGCTAGCATGTTTCGTTAAAATAGCTAAGGTACTGTATAAATGCTACAGATTTATTTTTGTCCTTATTTAGCTTTTATTTGCAGTCTCAGTATGATTAGTTTAAAAACATCGTTTTTTAACAATATTTTTATTATTTGCTGGTCTAAGTCTTTTTGCTAGTTCAATTTTTCCTTATTACAAGTAAGGTCATGAATTCAAGGTCTTATACTACTTTAAGTTGCATAAATTAATTCATACGAGCATCTTGAATTAAAAAATCAATTTAAAATTAAATACTTTCCCAGCACTTAAGGGCTCTTCATCCTGATTTATTAATCATCTATCAAAATATTTTAAGTATTCCCTTGATTCATACTGAAATAGAAATTACCTCGTAGAAATGTTGAAAAAGATACTATCATAGAATCAAAGTAAAGGTATGTTTCAAGAAACTCTAAGATGGAACGTTATCTGCTTATTGTTTTCTGATGTTTTTCTTTATTTACGATTATAAATAGGATTCCGCGGTTGTTTAAGAAATGATAATATTTAGAAAAAATAAATTAGCAAGTTTCATCTAAATCTTTAACTTCCTTTAGAAATGTGATATTTTTTGACTACAGTACTGGTCCGAGGTTGTTCTACAATTTGATGAAGATTAGATTTAAGTTAATCTTAATTTGTTAAATCAATCTAGTGAAATACAGAAATAGAAAACAAACGAACCATTAGATTGTGAAGTACTAGGTGATGACGACATAACAGCATTTGGTATGGGTGATGTTTGCTGGTTTATTCCGGGCATAATGGAGCCCATAAACATCGGATTGAAAAGCATTGGTGGCCTGATCTGACCAGCTTGGGCCATCATTGTTAACAATTCTGGCCTATGAAATGGCATTCGAGCAGCCATTGCCATTGCCAGTTGCTGCTGTTGCCAAGAATGAAACTGCAAAAAGTGCTGAGGAATCTGACCGTTGATGACCGGCATAGTGGGAGCTCCTGGAGGCATCAAAGACGGCGGACCAGCACTCACCATCGATGAACCGGTCCCAACTGAAGTTGGTATTGATTCCCGGCCATCGTCCGAAGATTTACCGTCATCTGCAGACGTAGATGCTTGCTCACGATCATCTTTGTTGCTTCCAGCGCTATTACTATTTCTTTCTGTGGCACTATTCCACAGAGTATCTGCAATTGACCAGATTTTTGTTTTTTTTGGCGTCGAGGACACTGCTGATGTTAATGATCGGGTTGGAATATCGCTTGGCTCCGATATTGGTGGTCGTGGCGTAACTGACTTTGACTGCGCGTCTCCTGACGTATCTGAAATGCCTCATAAGATTACAAGAGTTATTTCCAAATTCATTTTGCCGTTGTTAATGGAAAGAATGCTGGCTTATTATTATTATTATTATTATTTTGGTCCCTCATCATCAATCAGCAACAATTAATACATAGTTATTTCAAAAATTATGTTTAATACATGCACACGATCGCATTTTGCCAATTAAAGTTTGCCTGGCTCAGTGACATCACCAATAGACACAGTGATGTCTCCATCAGAAGTACTACTGCTTGGTCTATCAGAGTGATTCTGTTCTGGTGATCCATCGATGTCAGCCAAATCATCATCATCATCTTCTCCGGGTCGATTTCGCGGTGACCACGTCATTTTATTTTCTTTCTTCAAACGCCGACGAGCATTAGCGAACCATGTTGACACCTATAAGTTGTTTTCTGTTTGAGATCTTCACTTATAGCTAAAATACTGCCTTGGTGTCATGCTGGCATTTTGATATAAGAAATCAAAGTGATGATATAGTCTTTTGACCCGGATAACTTCAGTATGGTAATTGCTTTTTTTATTGACATCAGCCAAATTTTATGATAATAATAAAATTGCTTATAAATTTTGCATTTCATATAAAAAATGGGAATGAAATTATTGTCAACATCTCATCAAATTTCCCGTCTATCATTTTCAGCAATGTAAACATATTAAATGGTCCAAAAAGACTATAAATACGATGAAATTATAGATGAAATACTGCTGGATGTTATTACCTCTGACATATCTATTTATCTGTTTGCTGAAAGTATTCCTCAATCATAATCAAAAATGAAAGAAAGACTTATTAAAAATGATATCAATTCCAGCATTGCTAGAACCCAGCAAACAAATTTCATCTATACTTGAAAGTAAATAATCGTTTACAACGCTGTTTAAGCAATAATAAAGTTGCTAAATTTACAATTGAATATTAATAATACAGAGAGACGTATTTCTATTCATATATGACTAAATTTTAAACTGAGCTGACAATATATGGAAGTAAAATTGAATTCAAAGTACTTTTATGAAATTGGTGCAAACGAAAATTGATCAAAATTCAAGTACGATAAAATTATGCAAAGTACAACAGAGGTATTTCTTATTTTGCATGAAGAGATTAAATCTCTGACATAGTTTTTGCGTTCAGCATCTCAACTTATTTTTTTGTTACTCTAATAAACTGAGATAAGTTGTATTACTTTGAAATAAATGTAATGTTTTACGAATACTATTAATCACAAAACCTCCTTAAACTCGTAATTTAACTCTGCAAACTAAAAGTAATAAAAAATTCCAATCTTTCTACTCATCTTCATTTATCTTCAAGGCTCACATAAATGACGCAATTAATGATAGCCCTAGAGAAAAGCTGTAAAATATCCAACTATGTCTGCAAACATATGCTTACAATTATCATTACCACTACTGTGTTATCTAGACTAATTTTGACCAAGGTCATATATATCATGAGCCAAATGGTGAGCTATTTCCAAACAGCTTTGCTACTATATTAGGAATATCAGAATATTATTAATATATTTTCTGGAGAAAAGTTGATATAATAAACATTTTGAAATTCCACACTTTTAACAATTTACTGTCACTGTAAAATGGTCAGTTGTAAATCTGTACTTTTTTAAATTTCTAGCAAAAAAGAAGGAAGCATCAAAGTGATACGATATAATATAACAGAGTAGTGTTTATAATTTAAAAAACGAAATACCACTGTTTCTCTTGAAACCAATCTTTTAGATTTACTCTAATTCTTACAACATGACTGCAATTGGATAGCAAAAAATGTCTCAGAAAATAAAAAAAAGAATAATTTTGGGAAAAAAATTGAGATGAAAGAATGAATATTTTGTAAAGAAAGAACTAAAAAATTATAAATTAACTAAAATATTCTTCTGCAAATGTGAAAATCAATTTTATTATGTTATTATCATACAAGAACCTTTCTGGCATGAAAGGTTCTTGTATGATAATAACACTACTCATTTCGAATCAAACCGAAAATTGAAGTATTTTATCGAAAACGAGAACGATATATATTAATGATGGTAATAGTAATCTGTAAATGATTGCGATGGTAAAATGAGTAGAGAATGAAGTTCGATCAAAAAAAATTTATATTCTACATTAAATATTCTAGAGTTGAGAAAGAACTTCAAAATCGTTTCCTTCATTCAAGAGGTCGCAATATAAAAGGGCAATTTTCGGAAAAATTGAAATGTGATCGTATGCAATTAGAAGTAAATTTTTTGATGCAATTTAGAATTTCGTTTAAAAAAAACTACTTTAACCATAATTATGAGAGAAAATTAAGATAACTAGGATTACGATCATTACAATAACTACTACTACTCTTTCATCTAAATTATTGCTTTCAAAGTGCTATAAATGATAAATTTGATACTTGAATAATTTCGGTAATAGCCTTAGCAATTTGGCAAAATTTTGTAAGACGACGAATTGATCAAAAACGATTTCTATTTTTAAACAGTCTTTTTCACACTTTATACTAATAAACTTAATACATGAGGTTATTAATTGCCAAAGTAAACACGACTTTAATCACTTGCTGCTAATGAACCAACTGTTCGAATGATTTCAGATTCAGAAAAAAAAAAGAGTTCCATCATAAAAGACTTCAAATGAAGAGTAAAGATAATTTTTCTATTAAACATAAAAAATAAAATTTAATTAATGACTAAATCACTGATAAATCACGAATGAAGCACGTAATTCATGTAAGAATGCAAGAATCGGAAATGTTAAGAAGAATCTAATTTAAGCAATGTCTTTTACGACATTTTTTCAATCAGTTTCTCAATCATTTTGCCTATAGTTCTGATTTTTTCTGTATCCTGCAATGCATTTTAAAATCACTATATTCTATCTGACCATTCATGCTATTCAAGATATGTTATATTTGCTTCAAATATGACCAAAAGCAGTATAGACTGCGTTCATTATAATTAGCAATAAAATAAATATTTATTCCGAATATAATAATTACCTATCCGTTCGCATGCAAACGGAAGCATTAGTAATTATACTCGGAATAAATATTATGCTATAATTAACTTTAAATTAGACTATTTATAACGCATAGTCATTTCAGCTGAAACATTAACAAAGATAAAAGTGCTCTGTTTTATCTCGTCCATAAAAAGTGCAAATTTAGAGTATAATATTCCAAACTACACAATTTAATCTCAAAACTTAAACTACAAATAATAATAATAAAAAATGTCTCTCAGTGAAATATTTGTGTTTTATGGCGAGAAATAACAGAAGACAGTGCTGAAAGGGAGACAATCAATCTTCTGCTCTGCTGATTTCATTCAGCTCTTGCAAGAATGAAGAGAATGCTTGATCTGATGAAGAACTTCATTAAGGTAAATAAGCACACAATTTTAAAGTATAAAAACGCGTTTTGAGATAATTTGACAACTGCATAAAGCTGAAAGTTCTGCAACCATTCATCTTCAAAATAATCATTGGCTTGTAAATGATATATTATTTTCAAATTAATCCATGCATATAATTCTAGTAATCTTAACTTCAAGTAAAATAAAAAATACATATTAGATAACAATCACAATGCAGCAGAAGAAACAAAATAAATACAGTGCAATCAAAGTTTTTCAACACTCGTAGAGATCCAAGTTCTGCAACAGTTAGTTGATCAAATAAAATTGGTCATAATGCAAACGAAAGCACTAGTAATTAGTTGATCACAAAGCTCAATATACTTGAAGCGCTGGTTAAATGCAAAATATATTATGTAAGAAGGAAAGTCAATCTATTCTTGCAAATTGTATAGTTAAGAGTAAATACAGACTAGTTAGTTGCCTAATTTAGCTTTAACTAGAAATCTATAAAATTTCCAGACGTTTCTAAAGATTAAGAAAAGTTCTTCACCACAATTTTTTCAGCATATCCCAATGTAAGCAGTTTGGAAAGCTTTTCGAGGAAGCATCGCGGTACCACGGGAATTTGAAAGACAAAAACAAAACTTTTTGCAAAATAAATACTTTACGAAACGCAAAAATCTTTGTTGTAAACAATAAAATGAATTTCGAACACTATCCAGATTCTAAACACAAATTCTATAATTTTCCTCATAAAAATTTCATTCTTCAAATGAAAAGCCTTATTGAATTCACGAGTGTTTGATGCTTATCTATCAAAAAAACTTCAGTAAATTCAATTGAACAGCTTCTCACTCAAGCAGAAAAAATGCCTTAAATGGTTATTTTTTGTCTAAAAAAATTGGCAAAAATAACTACTGTTAAAACTGAAAGCAGTCAATGTCTTGATCGTTGAACAAGTTACCATTTTTGAAATTACAAATTCTAAAGTGAACTTCAAAGAACAGAAAAGAACAGTGAAGTGGTTGACTTATAAAAGATTATAAAGAAACAATTTTGTGACAGTTAGAAAGTACGTCTAAAAATGAATACCTGGTGGATCATGTTGAATTATAATTAAATCAAACTTGTCAAAGGTAAACAAGAGAAAGTGTTTAAACTCCGCAGTGAAATGCTCAGCAACAAATAGAAGATTGAAATGAACAATTTGAAAGTCAAACCTGTGTTAAAGTCATCTTTGTAAGTAATGCAAGCATAATCTTCTCCGCTTTTGTCGGATACGGATTCTTCCGATGTTCGTTAAGCCAAGATTTAAGTGGTGCAGTGGTTTCACGCGTGGCATTCTTCCTACGCACACCATCTAAACCGCTGGCATATGGATGGTAAGGCATAGGGTCAAAGAAGAAACCCGGGCCCACACGGACTGCACCCATCATTTCTGGTTTCATTTCCTGTAAACTCATCAGCTTACATTTTTTTGTACTTTCAAATTCTCATAGTGTTTTCCTTATTATTCAACCCTACAAAATTAACGTTAATACTGAGATAAATATTCCATCCAAATATTAATAGATCTTTTCGAGGATTGCTCTTCATTTATCCCTTCATAAACTGAATCTGAATGCATGTTATTTAATCACTGAAGCAAATAAGAAAAAATCATGCTGACTACTTGGGACACTAAAAACAGTCAGCAATGAGATGAAATAGACGATGCATTTCACACTGCTATGTCGAGAACAGAGTTTGAGCAAGAGGTCAATGTAAAAGTTAGTTGTAGTACAAGTTAGCTATCATCTCGCTGCGAGCAACCAAATAAATAACTCTCTGAAGGTCGAAGCAGTTAAAAACACTTCTACTCAATGACATACACCTGTTGTGTGCGTGTTTCTTGACAGCAATAGATGTATTACAATTGTTATTGGCACGCAAAACACAGCACTTACTCTTCAATTTTCTTAAATAATACTTTGAAAAGTATCTCTCTCTTAAAATATTAACCTTTCATTCACATCAACAATGAATAATCAATAATTAAATAGATAGATAAATAAATAGATAAATATATGGATATACAGATAAATAGATAGATAGATAGATAGATAGACAAATAAAATTGGATGATCGGTGACCAGTTCGATCGATACTTGTTTAGATTTCTTTGATTGTGTAATGAATTTATGAATTTCAATCTCATCAATGCTTATTTAATAAGTAAAAATTACAGAAAAATACGGTAGAGAAAGAGGCGAAGCAATAAGCGAAACTTCATCTTACTGAAGTAAGGAATTTTGAGATAGACTTGAAATGGTGATAATATTCTTTCTGAATAGTGACTGCGAATCATTATTATGTACATGGAAATTAAATTATTGACTTGCAACAGAAATACGATAAGTTAACTTGAAAACTGTTACATAAAATTGAATATTTTTTGATTAGTCGGATCCGTTTTCCAAATGAAAAAAGTATTGTCAAAACAACTATCATTGAGATAATTGTTGATACAAAAAAATGATACAAAAAATCATGTCAAGTTCAGAGTGCTAATTAGTAAAAGGCATGCAAAAGCAGCTGGTTTGTCTAGATCACTCTCGTGAAGGTATACTTTTGTGTGGCGAATTAGTATCCAATTTTTTGCTGTCATTAATATCTCTATGTGATGTTTACTTTTCATCTCGGAGTAATGAAAATTTGATTCTAGTGAAGTTTATGCCGCACCCAGCAACCGCTTGAGCATACAAGTATTCGTCTTCCGGGGCCATCTATCTTTATTCTTCCCAAACCATCAAATACATTTACTCGGTAATTCTCTGGTCAGTAAGTCTACATGAGTTTGCAAGATAAAATTCATTGAATTTGTTAAAAGCAGTTTTACATGAATGGAAAGGGAAGGAAGGATGTTTTATACTGCCTTGTAGCAGTTAAGTTATTAAATGAAAAATTAAATAATAATATGCAAAACTGAGGGAAAAGCTATGGTCATTTACATGTTATTCAGAATGTAATGGTTTCTTATTATCATAGGTTTCATTTGGAACAATAATTACGATGTGATAGCAGCAAACTTTAATTTGGTGCTTTTAAAGGACGTCTATGAGAAGACAAAAAATGATAGGAGAAAAGATAAAAGCTGACTATTAAAACAAAAAATAGGAAAAAAAATGAAGCAAAAAAAGTGTTGCCCCAAGTTTTCATCATTGTAATTCCATAACTTTAACGAAAAATGCCTCTCAATATGGTTAGCTTTTTACCCATTAACTAATGCATGGTCTAGCACAAAAAGATTCAGCACAAGCTATCACAAGATGGTGCTTGTGGATAGTTTCCAGCAAGAGAAAAAACATAGAGCTAGCTATTCATAGCTAGCAGATAATTATGAATGATGATAAAAATAATAACAATATAATAATAATTAATAACTAATAATAATAATAATATCTTAATAACTCAACCAGTTAGAAAAGCACCTAATGGACATATAATTGATGAAAAAAGGACGTACTGCTGGATGCAGACCAGGATAGATTGGGAAAGGAATGGCACCTTGGGCCACGGCTGCGCGAAATGCTGCAGCTTCTTGCTCCATTGGATGCGGAAAAGTGGTCAATCCGCCTGGCGTTAAAAGCGGTCCACTGGCATTGAGAAATCTCGTGGTATCGGTCGCAACATTTACTTCCTCCATATTGCTGCCCATTGAGGTAACTGCTGGGACATTAGTAACCAATGCAGACGCAGGTTGCTCCGTTTTTATCGGTGTAGACGGTTGTGAAGCAGCAAATAACTGCAAATGTGACTAAATGAACGAACAATTTTTTTCTCGTTATTTCCTGAATACAGTGGAAATGTTTTGTACTAGTGAGAAACATTTAGATAATTTTTAAAATCCATTACTTTACAAAACGAAAAGTAAAATTTGAACAAATTGTGCTTTGTTTTTGCCGGCTTTAAAAATGCTGATTAATGGAAGTCATATATATAAATACAAGGATTTTTTGAGCTTTTGATGAAACTCAAGCCAAAAAATAATAATTGAAATAAAGATAAACAAATTCCAGAATGTCTTGTTTTAAAAAAGAATCCTGAAGTATGCGAAACTTTCCCACAGAAATTAGAAATCAGATGTAAAGAACTGCTTAGAATGAAGAACAGGGATTGAATATGCAAAAGTCACTTATTTTCATGTTCAAAAATATTTTATTTACTATAAACATATTCATGACTGCTACTGATAAGAAATAAATTGGTTGGAATAAACTAACTTAGTCTGACTTATCCCAGTTATTCACGTATTGTATGCTCAAGGATTCCCTTTTATAGCGGCAGCACAATGAAAATGCTAACAATGATAATAATAATAATAATAATTGTTGTCATTTAATATACAAATGATGATAATAATCCGAAAACGAAAAGATAAAAAGGTAAATTTTCTTGAAATACTGCAAGTTCGGAAGAGATGAAAGGCGTTGTTGACACACCTGAGCGTTGAATGCAGCTGCTGCGGCTGCCGGATTGAATGCCATCCGTAAAGTGTTGAGATCGAAATTGTTGTCACTGGTAACGCTTGACAGAGCAGTATGCGAAATTGACAAAAATTTTTTGAATCCTTCAGCTGGGAATACAAACTGAATTATTTTTGACTTATCTTGTATCTTCAGCTAAATACGTGCCAGCGGTCGTGTGTGTTCTCCTCTTCTTGCTTTTGTCTTCGTACAGTAGCAGTGAATTTTGACAAATAAATAAATATACGTGGATAAATGATGCGAGTAGTAATAAAAGTAATTGTAATAAATTAGCAAAGTTATGAATGAGATATCTAAAGCAAATAATAAACGTTCCTTTTTTTCTAATAAAATAACCTGAAAATTAGTAAAGTAAAGATTGGAAGAATTGTAAAAATAATGTAATGCAGATAATCATTAAAAACATTTAAGACTAACACAATAAGTAACAAGCACTTCAATAGCGAAAACGTTATCTAATTAGCTTCACTGCTTTACCGTAAATAATAACTAAAGTAAAAACAAAGTGCCAGTAAGTCCCTGACAACAAGTATCCATCTACTCACATCATTATAATCACTGCGAATGCGTAAGTGAATGTGTCTGTCTATCTGTATATATGTACAAAACTGTACTTCAAATGTACGAATTGACAAATGGCACCAACATAAGTCTAACAGAAAGTTTATTGAAAGAAAAAAAGGTAACGTAGAAGCGATTTGTTATCTGAAAACGTCATGTTTCAACACGCCAACAGGTTTAAGTTTACGTCGTGGAGGGAAGAAATGGCAAAAATTTGTTGGTTGGGTGGTTTGGTTGTGTAATTATTGTTGGATTGCACCAAAAATGACTCAAAATTTGAAATGATTAAACCAGTTGTTCAGCTGTGAAGTACAAATATTATATTGTTAGATTTCTTCATATATCTCATTAATAACTGCAGATAACAAGAACTACGACTATATTAATAATCACAATAATGAGGAAAATTATAATGATATCTATCTTAAATGCAGTAAGCTTTAATTAATATTATTGTCAATCGATTATCACTATTATCAGTAAAGGCTTAACTTTCTTTAGCCCGACAAACTTTGATTAAAAGCATTCAATCAGTTATTTTGTACAAAATTTCTTTTTAATCTCCTTCTTGTTTGCTGAAAATAAACAGAATTGAACAATCATAAATAGCTACAGCAAACAGACAGTGTCAACGTAAATCAATTACCATCGATTGCGTTTTGAAATTGCGTTAAAAGTCAAAAATGACATACAGATTTTTTGCAAACATCAATTTTAATTTTAAAAATATATATATATATAAATTATTACATATGCATATATATATGCATATGTATATATATAAATTATTAGATAACAAGCGGCTCAATGCTTTGTCCAATTATCCTGAAGTGGAAGCATTTACAGATCGGAATCGGAATCCATAAATGTTTTTAAGCATATTATTTATTTATTTATTAATAAAAGAATAAATTGAATGTCTTTCAAAGTGCTTCTCAAGTCAGAAGTAAGAATACTTTTATTTAATTCTTCAGTAATTGTTATCACTGCAATGCACAGAAACAGATCACCAAATACGGACCACTGAGCTAACAGAGAAAAATAGTGAAATTTGTGTCAGCTTTTCTTTGATATTTTATGGGAATTATATTTTGCTGATTTGTTTTTCTCGCAAGTAAATTTAACTATTTGCTTTTTACTATACTCATTCAATCTGCCATTCAACGATTTAGATCCTTTGCTTTCATTCTTCTGCTCAGCACATACATTATTAGACTTCTGTATGTATTCAAATATTGAATAAGTCTATCTATGATGCGATTATAATTGCTGATTTGAGAGAAACCACAGAAAAAATACCCTTTCTTATAGAACAAGATGTAAGCAGTATATGAAAAAAGTGTGGAATAATTTATGCTAATGATATATTCGGTGTATACGGAATAAAAAGCAAACGAAACGATCTTTTGGTCATCCGGTCAGTCAAAATTGAGACACATGAAATTACGAGTAAATAAGAAAATAATATATAACAGATAAATGAATTAGAGAAAGACAAAGAGAGCAAAATGCGTCACTTCACAAGAATTGTGATAATTCAATAGATAACTGATTAACTTAATAAGTGAAATATCAACTGATCAAAAGGCTGATTGATTTGCTTCAAATGAAGGGGGAAATATTTTTAGAGAAAGAATTGCCACCTCTTAGTGATAAATTATAACAAATTAAGACAACATTTGAACCTCAAACAATAAATAGAGAATTTAGAACAGAACTGGAAGAAATAAGCAAAAATACATACTCAGCCGGATCAGGAATGTGAGCTATGAACAAAAACGTTTCATGCATACACGGTCATTTGTGAAAACTAAACGCGGGTGGAGACTAGAATAGGGTGGAGACTAGGCTTCGTTGCACTGGGCTTAAGCCACGCAAATACCCGGAACAGAAAACCTTGAATGCCATCCGCCCCTAATGAGGATTGGCTCTCGCTCATACACATTCATTATTACCACAAAAGTAACAACATACATCATTACATCATCTTGTTATTTGTTTCACCGGGAAATCCCGGGACAAAAGATCAGGCGGAGCTACATGTCATTAACATACCGGATACAGACAAAGAGAGATAGTCAAAGAACAGGAAATTGTTATTATTGGACAATTGATACGGTAGCTTCAGTATGAACAAATCGCTTGCACAAGTTATTTTCAACTTTGTTTGATTTTGTCCAATAAAAACACTAATAAGGCTTAAGAAGATGATAAGATAACGGGCAGTGGTGATAATAAAATGATAAGATAGAAAAGAAGAGGAATTATTGCATTGATAGTTATGTTCTGCGTGCGTGAAACACATCGTTTTAATATGATGGCACAATGACATTATACCAGTAATAAATGCATCAAAATATTACTTCAACAATAATTGCTTCAACTTATAACTACAAATATGGGAATGTTATACAAACTACTAAGTTCAAAAATCAAGTTTTATCTTCTGCAATATGCGAAAAATTCAGCAAACAAAAAAATAATTTCCCACAAGATAGTTGATATAGAATGTAATGCTTCGGATGAGTATTACTATTTCCAGATATTAGAATAATTATTTTGCATTTTATTGATTGCTGCTTTTGAAAGTTACGACTGCACTCAAATTACAAAATTTATTCGTTTAATGCTGTTATAATGAGTTTATATCTTGTCTCAAAGCGAAAATGATAACAAAGCAATTAATGAAAAGACGAAATGATTGCATTACAGATAGTAGGATTAGTTGCCCATAAAATTATTATAATAGTAAAGTAAATATAGCACAGACTTTCTTAAGCACATAAATTATTCATTAAATAGGCTTTTGAACGCTTTGTAAGTGAAGAAAGTTTGCGCTAATGAGATGACACGCAGAGAATGAATCCTACACCTACCTCTTCTCAGTAGAATGTGGTGTTCATTTCAGGTGTTTCTTTTCTCGTATATTTATTTGAGTGAGTATGTTTGTGTGTATGTACCTGTGCCACAGACATATGTTCATTATGTTTTTTGGCGAAAGCAGATGTTTTCACATTGCACACAAACCATTAAAAAATTTGCCGTTGATTGATATGGCACCCACATTTATTTACACATACACACATACACACACACAAACACACTGTTGTGTATATTTGTTTGTCATATTGTATTTATTATAAAAACACATGTTTTGTAATTATACCATTTATTAATATATCAAAAGCTTGCAAACATGTATTATAAAAATATTTATTATTTTATAAAAGAGGTTGGTTTGTTATATTGTATTAGTTATATAAGAAGTATTTACCAATACAATACTATAAATTTATTGGAGAAAGTATAAATAAAGTAATATATTTCAAATACATGATTAATACACATGTATTTACTTATTTATATCAAAATATGTAATTATTGTAAGTGTTATTAAAAATTATATTCCATTTGTTGCAAATATATGGTAAATATATTGTATATTTGTATTTCATTTGTTGTCAATGTATAAATGCATTGAAGATAGTGTAAATGAATATAGGAAACAAAAAGTTGAATTGAGAGAAAAGACAAATAAACAAATAAATGAATAAACAGATAAAGGGTGAAAACAGACTATTTGAGGGTTAATTGGAAAAAATTTCCCCTTTATTTACATTTAAATTACACGACGCCTCGCAAGGGTTAGACCTTTTTTACACGAATTATTTTACAGATGCAATGAGCCTCATCGATAAACATGCACAAGCACAGACACATACACATACATAAAAATGTGCTCAAGTTAGAAACACAAAATAAAATATGAAAAATTCTCAGCAAATTTTTTCTAACAAATCGGAGATTTAGCTAAATTGATGAATCGAAAGGCCATGAACCTTTTATTCCCTCAAATGTCTTCCAACACTTTCAGAAGATTTCTTTTACTTCCAGATTTGGAAGGATATCTTGCGTCCTTGTACTATTTTTGTCGTTTCTGAGATGGAGAAAACATTTATTTCACTTTGTATTACATAAATTTCAAATAAAACACACTTTGCTTGAAGAGTTCAAGTATATAACTAGACTTCTACAACAATATTGCTCATAACTATTATCGTTTGAAAGTATTCAACCATCTATTACCTATTTATTTTGATAGATGAATATGCTACGAGTAGATACAACAGAATAAACAGTATTTATGTTAGCACGAAATGAAACAATATATCTGCCATGTATCTGCAATGAATGGAATATAATTTAAGTTAGACTGATTCTTCCCACTTTCAAGTTTTCTCAATTTCAGCAAACAAAACGAATCATTTTCTGTAACTGATTCTTTAAAAGATACTAAATTGTTTGACAAAGCAATAATTTGCAACACAAAAATTTTAACAACTTACAAATGACTTCTTTCAACTTCAAATGACAACTGAGCAATAAAGCAATAACCTTTTGATTTGAAAAGTTAGCATAATTTAGAAGAGCAAAAAAATTCGAATATTTATAATCATTTCCAAAAACAAAGTGAACTGATTGTTTTGCAAAAATTTTTAAGATTCATACAAAACGTGTTAGCGAATCTACAAAAAAATTGAAAAAAAGAATATTGTTAACTTTGATTAATTTCAACTTCTATTCAAGCAATCTAAAATCTATCTATTTATAAAGTGCATCAGTCCTTGGAAAATATTCAATTAATTAACTTAATAATTCGGATGTAATTAAAATGTTACAAGAAGAAGAATATTTTATTCAGTACCTTGCTATCTTTCCAAAATTTGACTTTTCATATTAGTGATTAATGCATGAGAGCAAACAAAAACAGAACTTTTCACATTGCTTGAAACATATTTTATAAGTGAAAAAATAGTCACTACTTATTGGCAAAAAAAAAAATAGTCACTACTTATTTATATTCATTTCTTATTATATTATTCTACCAGTACAATACTCGAATATTTGTTTGTGCTAATGATAGTAGATGCTATCTAGAAACATTAGAGTAAGGGATAGCCGATAAAATAGACTACAATTTCAAAATAGACTGGTGAGATTTAAAAAAAGTACCTCACTAGGTTGAAAAAGTTATCAAAATACTTAAACAATAAACCAACTCAAATTCAAAATCACAACTTACTGAACTTATTCACCACTTCTATCTGTCAAAACATGATAAAACTGTGTCAATAAAAGTTTAAAAAAAGCTTTGAAAAAGTCTTTCAGTTAAAAAACTTTTAACTTTTAGTTAAAAAAGCTTTTAATTTGGGATAACCAACTAACTTTTTAGCTCAATAAATTGCCACTTCAATTACTTGTTACATGTGCTGAAGCAGTACTCTTAGAACTGAAATGAATAATTACATCTAATAATGAGTTATGATGATTTTTAGCAAAATATCATTGCAAATTATTACAAAATGAGGAAGTAAATGCCTTAAAAATTAGGCAGTACTCAACTGCGTAACTGGTGAATTACAGACAACCTTTTATTAGAAAGCCTCGGCAAAAACATCTTACCTAACCTAACTTACGTTTATTCAGAAAATTACAACCAAATATATTAGCTCAATTTTATTTGATGTTCAAAATTAGAGATGTCGTCAAAAAGAATTAGTGATGGTGCTTTTGGTCATTAGTAAATTGAAGAAAGAATTTAATTCCTTGAAAAAAATTGATGAATGTGAACTGGCGAAAATAGTTAATGAACAATAAAAAACTGCAACATAAGTAGAAAGCAAAGCTTAAGAACACATCTTGATGGGAAGTACTGTACTTGAGTATTACAATAATCGCAATATTCCGTTATTAAAGTTTCTAAGTAAAAAAAAATTACATATCTAAATAAAATTGAGAATGATGATGATAAAATATATCTATAATTTAAAATTAAAATGAAAATTGGTCACAATTGACAAAGATGATATCGATGATGTGAAAACTGTGGACATATCTAGAATATCCTTCATTTTCACGATTAACATTGCCTTCAACTGCTTAATAAAGGCAAAGTTGTTAGCATATTTTGACTTTTGATGAAGCGGAAGAGCAAAACACAAATATTCAAAGCACATCACATCTACTAATTTTTTTGCTTACAATTTTTAATATTTAACGCAAAGAATAATTCAAAATTTCTAAAATTTAAAAAAATGAACAAATTCAAGCAAATAAGAGAAGTACATGAATGTGACCGATCTCGATGGCCACTGCACAAGTAGTAAGTGTAACTTTTTTCTGACCTCTAGAATTCACACAAGGAATTCTTCATGTGTAAATGAGTACTTAATAGTTTGTTATTTGAATTTGCATTGAGAGTACGATTATATATATTCACTAGAGAGAGTGGATAAGAGGATTAAGTACACATCAGAAACTGCCGACTGCTTTTGATTGTAGCGACGAATTAGAGTACACTGAACATGTATGGATATACAAGCCTACATGTTATTCAAGATTTAAGAAGCTACGGATATCACTTTGCACTTGCTTTATACAAACAATTTCAACAATTTGTTATGAGTTCTAATGATATGACTTCAGATTTGAAATTGCATTACTATGCTTTTGTTGACTACCCCATAACTGAACTACTAGATGTTACATTGCTTTGCATTGCTTTAATTTGAATTAATAAGAGAGTGAACGATGAAAAGTGTAATTACAATGTTAGCCTGTATTATATCTATTAAAACTGATATCATATAATTGCCAAAAAGTTCATACCAAATAGTTTGCTTTTGCAAATCGCTCTCATACAATGAAAGATTGGTTGCAAACTTGAAAGTAAAAACGTAACTTATGAATTTCTTTCATTTTTTTCAGTTTGAATGCAATAATTTTCAGTTCAAATGATCTTTTGCCCACAATAAATTTTTTCCCTATCTTAGATGAAGGATTTAGCTGTGTATTATTATTAAGAAAATTGACATGCTATTGAGGTTAATAGAGATAATCAAAACCAGAAAAGATTTATAGTATCAGCAAATAATTGCTCACTTACAATAAACACTAAATAAAAGAACTTCTAAGCAAGCAAATACTTTACCAATTTTTATATCTTTTCCGAGCAGTTATTAACATTGTTTTTGATTTGTTTCTTTGAAATTCCAACAATTCCACAGGTGTTTTAAATCATAAACAGACGACTACTCTATTCTCCAGCCTCCTAAAAGAATTTAACAAATGTTAAAATTTGCTTAATTTACGTAATTAAAATAAACTCTTCATCATCGGAACAATTAGTTGAGAGAAACAAACACTGCTTCAAGCTAATCTTGGCTGATAATTAGTTGATATCTCAAGAGGATATTACTTCAAGTGCTTTCTCTAGTAATAAGAATCATAATTTATTTGAAATTTAGAAATTCATCACTTACTCATTAAGAGTAACAAGATTTTAGGCAAGATATCAATGATTGCCATATCACATAATTATGTATGGGATAAGATCATTGTGTTTACATTCAATTGTTTTTTAAACTAAAGCTGTAAAGATTACAAAAGAACAAATAAACACTTTGGAACTTTAGTAAAGACAAAATTAATTTGGTTATTAAATGCATAAAACAAGAACGATCATCCATTTATCTGTAACTATTATTTTTTATACTAGCTGATGGTAAGAAAAAGTAGCAGAAATTAGTTGCGAGGATCAGAGGTTAGCAAAGGTGAACGGCCTTAAAGCCTGAATTTACTTTTAAATATAATTACAAGACAAAAGATTGATGTAGCCTCACTGAATGAACTGTTGTTCTAACAGCAGATTTATGAGATTTCAGTTCGAAGAAAATTCCTTTATAATAAACCAACTGCTGCATAAGAAGTGTTTTAATCCTTCCATAAAGGTATGCAATCAGTACTTCACATTTTACAAAAGTTCAAAGGTCAAGCTGGATTTTTGTCCCTTGATAAAATAATATCAGTGACTATGTTCTATCGATAAGCAAGAAAGTATTACGAGGTTTCATATTTTCCTATGAATTACGTGGAATCCTGACAGTCCAGAAATTAGAGGAAATTTTCGTTTAATATCTTGCAAATGGGTAAAAAAAATGCAAGAAATCATTAGTCAGTTCAAAGATTAGGAATTTAAGAAATACTGAGAAGAAGCCACAAGTGAGGAAATTACTATGAATAAATATAATACCAGTGAAGGAATAAAAGAAATATATCATGGCTTAGTAGTTGCAAAGGAAAAATGAGGCGGAAAAAGAAATAATAAGTATAATAATAAACAGCGCTTAATAATAATAAGGCTAAAAGTGGAAATTGTTATGTAGTAACTAAAATTCTGAAGGACGCATGGAAATAATCCTAGATTTGCCTGATGCTAATCTACAAGAAGAAAACATTTCTCAAAGGTCAACTTGTGCAAAAAGGTTAATTTATTTGGAATGCAGTCAAGAGGAAAAATTATTTAAACATCGCCGTCTTCCTTTTTCAGCTAAATATCAATCACATTTATCACTCTGTAATTTATTTATTATCAATGTAACAGCAATAATAGTAGCAGCATTAAGAATAGCAGAAGCAAAAGCAATTTTTTAACAATAAACGATAATAATGTGATCTGAAGACAGAGCAATCTGAAGATAGTGTAGAAATTGAAATTAGCGAAGCTTTGAAAGTATAGGAATGAATTCTGAAAAGGAAAAAAGACAAAATTAGACGTGAGTGAACCGGAAAGATAAAAGAAATGACTTAGGAATGGGTTATCCAAAAAAAGAAGAACATCGCAGAAGCAGAGTAAAAAGCAGTGCTCAAAAATGCTTTCAGAATCTGAATTGAAGGAAGAAAGGAAAGAAGGGAGGAAGGGAAGGAGGAGCGCCACCGATCCTCCTCCTTTCCTTCCACCTGGCACATAGGGCAGACAACGTCTGCTACCTGTGGGGAGGAGACAGCACAAATATATCATCATTGCATTCTCGAGTGACACATTAATACTGCCTTCAGATTAACAGCTACAAACACCTCATACTTATGTACACACATTTTCAGCAAAGTATGTACCACTCACTCAACAGATGGTTATTTCTGGAGCCACAGCATCAATAACACTGTTTTCTTCTTCTGCGTTTCACCATATTTATCACTACTACCAACTTTAACTTCCCAAATACATTCCAAATATAAAGCACATATATTCTTATGAATAACAATTATATTCTTCTAAATAGGTCTTGCTACTTCTTCTCTACCGCCAAAGGACGGGAAAACTAATTTGTGAAACACTCACTTGTGTCATATAGTACTTTGCTAGCAATGATAGTTTTGTTTGCGTTAGTATTTATAATACACAAATAAAGTTGCATAAATTGCTTAATAAGCAGTTCAGATTATAAAACATTCGATTTTCAAGAGATTACTCAAGTGTCAAGATAAATATACAAATGGTAGTTCCATTTTTGATGTGCTGAAATTAATAGAACGAGAATGATTCGAGCACAAAATAATCGCTTCATTGCTTAGCACTTACAGATAATGCGTAATTAAATAAAAGTTTGCAGAATGTAATGTGAGAGATTCCTTTGACTCCCACAAAATCTGATTAAAGTCTAATGTAGGATAAATCAAATTTCTAGAAATCATTCGTCGCTGAGATGTGATGATCTTTCGCCAAGTAAAGATATCAGATATACATTACAGCCGTAGTAAAAGCTTAGCTCCTCTTCCTTCCGGGAAAGTAAATTGAAATGCTGGTATCAGAGGTAAATAGATGTGTCTATCTGATAAGTTAAAAACTTATCCTTCAAGTAAACTAACTGATGAAAGCAAGAAAAAGGCTCAGATTTCGCATATTTTCTTTTTGTATGTTGGGTTAGAGGCTCCTACTGAAATACATATGTCGGGATGATTTCTCACACTTCGGGAGCAAATAATCACAGCCTGTCTTCATTAAAATATGACTGCTAACTCATATATAAAACCAGAAGAGGAAGTGTTTCCTGCCCTTACTGACTTATATCTCAAGCATTTTAAATATGATTACCAAGTATTTACCCCATAAATTGATATTTAGCTCAAACTAAAAGTTGTTGCAAGCTTATAAAGATAGAGCTACAACTAATCAATACTTTGTGTTCTCAGTGCTGTCCTCATGAGGATAGGACTGAAACTCTCAGATTCTCTGAAGAGTTGTTATGGCATGAAACAAAGTACAGGTTGCGCATCTAGAAAGATAGTGTGTATCGCATTTCCATCTCTTCTCTACTGATCACCGCGAACGTTGAGGTATTGTTGCGGAAGTTAGCTGCACTGCAGTGTCGCTTAGATGCGAGCAAAAACACAAAAAATACAATATTAGCAAGTATTTGAGTAATTGTAAATACTTGGTAATCATATTTAAACAAGTTGAAACTCACCTAAAATTACAAGCTGACACGCAATGGATGTCCTGGTCTTCATTTTAACACACCCTTGCCAAGAGTGAATTTCGAATTGCTAAAAATTGCAACAGATTCTCGGAGTTAAAATGAGTAATTACTTATTCAATAATGTATGCAACTTAATTCGCAACCTACAAGCATCTCAGATATATGTGTATATATATATAACACAGTTTCTTGCTTAAGTTTAAAATTTTGCACAGTCATTCCAGCTTAATCATATAAGATTGGAGAAAAATAATGACCCTATTCCATATGACCTCATTCATTTAAAAGTTTTTCACTTTAATTCACTTAAATACTTTCAATATCAAAAATACTTCAGAATAGTTTTTATTACTGGTTATTACCATTTTATTTGAAAAACTGTTAGTCGTTAGCAGTACTCAAGCAAAACTCTCTTACTTTTATCCTAAATATAATCCTAGCAGTATTTTTTAATCAAAATGAGTATATTTAAAAATTTTTAAAATGATGTACAATATTTTTAAGGGATGCAACGCTTGAGGATATGATTATTAATTAGTGCATACAGAATAAGTACTAGAATTGATAACTGAAACATTGCCTTACATAAGATAACATAAATATTTGATTGCTTTTTTGGTTCTTTTTCTAACTCTTAATTTTGATAAAAAATGAGATGTAAGAATAGTCAAAAAGACATAGTGAATACAACGAAAACATCTGCTTAGAAACTTACATAAATCTTTCGTTTATTACCATTTTATTTGAAAAACTGTTAGCTGTTGGCAGTACTGAACTGAAACTCTCAAGAAATAAAAGTAATAAGCAAATTTGTTTCAATAATAACTACAAATGAGTTACAACACTTCTGTTAATAATTTCTGTTCCATTATCAGAGGAAGCCGAAATCTTATAAAAGATTTTATATGCTATCGACAGAAATATGCAACGTTTTTTTGAGAAAGAGTTTAAGTAAACATATTTGAAAAATTAATTAGTTACAGCAAAATTTCCGATACTTTTAATTTTTTTCTTCTCTTTCTATTAATACCGATTTCAGTTTTGACTTCATACTTTCACCTAATGATTTGGAGGGAAATTTTAAACAAAATTTTCGAAATAACTTAGTCGATTACAATTGATTCTTAATTTTAATCATAAAAGTACGAAACTTATGCTGGTAATTCTTATTAGCTTTAAATTTTATTTTTCTGAATTAGTAAATGAGTAGAACGGAAAAAATCCTCAAATCGTTGTTAAAGAAGGGACATATTTAGCAATGAAGGCAGTGACGATAAACGTGATTCCGAACAAATGTTTGTTCTAGAATATAAAAACAATAAAATGTACATTCAAAACAAGAAATAGTTAACGTAGACAGCAAAAGGTTATTTTGGAAATGTTATATTGTACCAAGATCAAATATCATTCGATAAATTTCAGTTGCTGACATCGATTTTCACGTAGGATTAGTTAAATGATAGCAAAAAAGAGTACCGACAATGGTGAGAATGCTTGCAGACTACTTTGAATGAATAGAAAAACGCAAGACAATCTGTTGAATATACGCTGAAGGAATGAGTCAGCAAGTCAAACATACTAACTTACTAGAAATAAATTGTTCCATTGTTTACGGTCAGCAAATCAAGAAAATCAAATATAACTGAGAAATGCATTTAAATCTTTGTGTTGTTTTCTGAGAAAAAACTCAATAAAAAAGGAAATGCCAAGTATGATCGCTGAGAAGGTTTAAAAAATATGAAATATGTACGATGAGACGCGGAAACAGAATGAAAAACAATAACTTTCTAAACGGTCGAAAGTGAATCGTTCTTTGAGACTGCTTTAACCACTAATCATCGAACAGCGAAACTTCTTTGGTAATTCATAATTTTTAGCTCATTTGTAATTGCTTTTTTTTTACACATTTAATTTTAACAACGCTTAACAACTTACTAATAGCTGAGCAAAGACAAGGAATAGAAGTGTAAAACAAAAATCGAATATGAAGTTCATCACAATTGTATTACCTAACGAAGCTCACAACAGACTGCGGATGAAAATAAGCGTTTTCATGAAGCAAATAATTTGGGGAAAATAATTAAAAAAAATAAGTTTACATTACAATTTAGACTTTCTACTTTTCATTATTTAAAAAAGCCTATCTTAAAAACTGTCTTTGTCTTTTCTCAAGCTTTTTCAACAGCATATTTCATTTTTGTGATTCACTTTTCAGCGTAAAGAATGTCATTTTTTTCAAAAGAGCTAATCTTTTGAGAGTTACAATTTATGTTACTTATTTTCATTAAGCCAAAAAGTTTTTGAGCCAGTTTTTTATTATTCAACAGAAGCAAAAGCTCAATTTACCTCATTTCCGACCAAATTTTTCAATTTCCTAAGCAAGAAAATGATATGAAAGATTGTTGCTAGTGCTGTTTAAGAGTGTAAACACGAGCAGAGACAGCCCTTATCAGAATACTGCTCAAGAATTTTCCAAAAACTCGCATGTTTTAATGTTTAAGTACCACATTTCTACTACAATATATTTTAGACATTTACTTTCACTAATACTTTAAATGACATCAAAACTTATTGCAAGATAACAATGAATTATTTATTACTATTCCATAACTGCCAGTTATTTTTGCTGAATGAAGTTCGAATGATTAAAAAGATTATATTACAACTGAAAGAAAAGCAAATAGTGCTCCATTTCAAAACGACAATCCCATCACGATGACTGCAATTATGTAAAAAAAATTTAAATCTAATTCTTTTTGATCATCTGACATTTTTGTCGATCATTGTCTCAATTTTGTCGCTACTTTTGTGATTTGGAAATAGTTTTGAGTGATTCCAGAAGAATCAGATGATTTGTATTATTTTTTTAAATATTTAGAACATGGTACAGTATCCTTAATATGTGCTTACAGTATATGTTCCACACAAAAAGTTTGTTCAAGTTTAAGGTTTAGTAAGATTGAAAACGTGTTGTAGTTAACGAATTTGAATAAATGACGAATATTTGCGGATGATTGGTATCGCTTTCATAGATAATGAAGACAGACACTCGTGGAAGCGCTCAAACGAGAGAACTTTTGTAGCAACAAAAAAAGTGTATTACTTCTTTGCAAGATTCAGTTATATTCATTATAATAAAGCAGCGAAGAAAGTTTAGGAATTGACCAAATTTGGAGAGATGGTTTTATTTAGGATAGAGATGATTTGTTTTCAGCACACTTAGCGGTTATTTGATTCATTTTAAATCAAATTTTATAGTATTAAAAAATATATAAATAAATAATGGGAAAAATTTTTTGCATTATATTTGCGAAATTCATAAATGTGTCTATTTTCCGTTGTTAATGTGGAAAGAATGACTTTAAATCAAATACTGCTTTGTCAAATAAAGATTGTCTCAGGAAAAAGAGTAGTATAGTTTAAGCAGGATTTATGAGTAGATTAATTGTGTATGCCAAATTCGAGAGAGTATGTGAACTGGTTGTTGTACATGAGTAACGGATATAGTGAAATAAAGATAAAAATAAGTAAATAGACAGATAACCCTGCTGAGGTTTTGATCGATGAGTTTTTTAGATTTAGATATAACCAAGGTGTTTTGTTTGGTTAATAATATCTTGCACTAATCCTCATCAATTATCCATTCTAAGCAACTTTCTATTGTTAAAAATTAATGAGCCTTATCGTATTTTGCATGATATTACTTGGTTTGCTGAGCTGATAATAAATTGTGCACAATTTATTTTATTGCATCAGCAGCTTTCCTTCTCCAACAATGCAACTTTTTTAATCACCTTGAGTAGTCTTTGCAATATACTCTATCGTACGCAACTGATCGAAATACTATCTAAACATTCAAGAAATTTCTCGTTATTTTGCAGTATAAATCACAAATATTACCAGATTAGTGATTAATTGTTGAGTGATGTCTTGAATACGTATTTTCCACCTTTTACACAAACAATAACGAATAATTTTTATTTCTTTGACGAATATTTTCAATTTACTGTTGCTGAAAATCCACAAGTATCAATAAAGAATGAAAAAGATTACTTTTTAAAATATTGATTACTAAGCTTAACTATTAGAAGCAGCTATTTCATATTATATTAAACAATTCACTTTCTGGAATATTCGATATATGCAGCAGAAGTCGGTTACTTTAAAATCTTTTAGTGCTTAGGAAAGGTAACGAATGGAGTTTTTTCAATAATATATATACTTACAAAATATATTTCGTACTCAATGAATATCTGTTAATTGCAGTTAGTGTGATGTTATTGTGATTCCACATTTGCTAGCTTAATTATGAGTATAGAAACACGTTTTCTTCCATTGCAACATAGGTGTGAGAAAGTTATGAACATGGTCAATGTACGCATGATCATCAGGGATGAGTTATCATTGTAGTGTGGGATGTGATAGCACTGCCGCCTAGTTATCATAATAACTGTGTGTCATCCACAGCAAATGTATGATACATCATTGTGAAAATGTTTCTGACTAGCAATTTTTGCATTTCACATTTATACTAAAATAATGTGAATGCGATGGATATTTATGTTGGAAAATATTGGTCAAAAAAACAAAATAATTTGAAAAATCAAGTTGGAAGTAAGTGTTACATATGCGCTCAAATTGGAAGTGCGTGTAACATATGCGCTCAAATTTAAAACGAAAATTGTTAACTTAAAATACATTTTGAAATTTTGATTTCTAGAATTCCTTCTTTGATTGTTAACAGATTTATTGAACGAAATTACGAAAAGACTGATTACTGAATTGGATGAGTTCTAAAGCCTATAAGAAGTACATCCATATAGCCTTCTGAAGTCTCACACTACCTAAATAACTTAAATAAACTTGCTAGGTAAGTTTAGCAAGCAAAGAAGAAAAAGTAATGATCAGCGTTTTCGAGATGAGATATCTTATGCCTCACATATTTCTCAGAAAACAAATTTCTGTCTTCCACCTGCTTGATTAATTGCTAACTTTTGGGCGCCAGCTAAAGTTGGTTAAATGATGAAGATTTTATCTTGTACAGCAAGTTCCATACCTGTTCTAGATTTATGACTCCTTCGTACTTCAAAACTTTGAAGAGGAAAAATTGAAACGAATTACCTCTGGTGAATATTTGGAGAGTTCGTTAGAAAGATTAATCGAAAGCTACTTTTCTCCATTCCTGCATTTTCTTAGCTTACGTGGGCGAAATTATCAGTTTCTTCTGTCCTTTCTGAAAGCTGATTCTGAGATGTTCTGTCAGAACATATCTGAGAGCTTATCACAACTTGGCTAAATGGTTCAGAAAGTTGCTTGTTGAGAGCATAACTATGGTTTTTAGAAAGCTAAGGTGGCTGAATATTTTGCTTTGTCCCAAGTAAGAGATTAAAGTTACTGATACGGGAACACTTCACCAAACTTCTACTCTGTAAAATAATTTCCGCTTGCTTACCTAGCATTTTTGATAAGACCGCTAAGTCAATCAATTATCAAGTCACTGATAAAGTATTAATAATCGCTGTTCCTACTTCGTCTTCCGAATCTTATTCTCTTTGCTGTGGAAAATCACTGTCAAGAATCCTCTTCTAAAAGCTCGCTGCATTACTCAAGTATATTATAGCACCATCTTATTTATGTTGTGCATAAAAGCATTATGATTACTGAGTTTTTTTTTTAACCTTGTGACATTTCTAGGGAATTTACAGCTATACAAAGAACACTTTTTGGAAAAAACACGCAGGTTGTGACTTTCTCATCTATTCAGATTCATAAAATGCATATTCTTTAGTTTCTAACAGCAGAATAACATTCACTGAATGAATCAAATAGTGTCATATGATAGTACTGCACTTGGCTCAGGACCGGCATTCTGAAGAAGGAAGCATTAGTGAAAAGAGGAGATGCAGAGAATGGAATAGTTTGCAAGAGAAAACCGGCACTGCATACACTCCGGCAGCAGGACGATGCGCAAAGATGGTCCTGGCAATACCAGAAATGAATTGTAATAAAGAGAGCAAGAATAGGTGGGTGGTGGGTGTATGTTTAATGGATGGGTTGCAACGAACATATGTTCACACCACTTTTAACCATAACTTACACTGGCCAAATGAGTTTGACTTTGCCATCGCTGCTGCTGTCACTCTCATTGCCGCCCTTACTACAAGAAAGAGAATTTTCCGCGGTGAGATGAGGGAAAGTATGCTTTATTTTCAAATAGCAAATAGGGCTACTGGCGAAGAAAATTGTTACATGTTATGCCATATGTCTACTTGTTAGCACTACCCGTATTATTTTCAGTCAATATTGTCTATTTCGGAAGAGTAAATTTTTTGCAAATCATTAAGAACAGTACTGTTTCTCTACCAAAGCACAGCAGATGGAAGGGACTTTCGAGCTCTTTCAAAGCACTTTTCAATAACGTAATCAAAGTAGTATATAAACTGAGCACGCAAGCTATCCATTCTACCCAAGGTAGAAAACGAGAATGAGAAAAACGCAAAACGATACTGTTAGTAAGAATAAGTTATAGCTAATAAATCAAGAAGATCAGAATGTGCTTGACTAAAAGAAAAACGATCAACCTGAACCGCAGTGAGCTAGCGATGTTCTAGTAGATAATGAAAAAATGATCGCATGTAAGTGAGCACTTCAGTTGCATCGCTTTTTCGTCCTCTTTTAATTTTTGCTATTTTCGGCTTCACTCATTTTTTTTTCTCTATTGAATTGTATGTAAAATAAGCAATTAAACACCTTAGTTTGAAAAACGTTTCTCGTGTCACCTCTAAATGACTATCAAAACTACTTCAATCATTCCCTTACTAACAACTGCTCACCTCAGTTCTCTCGTTTACCAACTAATTACTATTACTCTTTCCAGAAGTCACGCCTTGTTTCGCTAGTACCGTATACCATCCGAATAGACAAGAATGACTGTTTGTAAAGCAGCACTTCACTTACATTACTTTATCTGAAATCTCGAGTTTCTTTCACTCTTTCACTATTGCTGTAATTCAGCTTAACTCACTTTTTCTTATAATACTGACATTTAAATACTGAAACATTTGTTAATTTACCAAATTATGAAATGAATAAATTATGAATTGTTGAAATATATAAATTTCTTCAGTACAAATGTCACTGTAATGGTTTCAAAGGTGTATCTGTCAATTTCACTCACTTCACTTTATCAACATTGGTCATTGTCAAACATGGAATAAATAATGAATTTGCTCTACTCTCACCCAAATCCCAGCGGGGTATCACATCACTGATATGGAGAATATATGTCCTTGATCGTTTTCATTTTACTCATTTTCTATTTTCTCCATATCTTTACTTGGATATTCAATGATTGCAAACACGCTCATATTATTTTTCACTCTCATTTCACTAGAACATCTAATTATCGAACAAGATGCTGTCACTTCATGTATGATGGAACGATTAGATGCCCAAATGCACATGACTTAAGCAACAACTGTTCAACAGTTGAGTCCATTCCCATTGCTCGAAATTGAAAACGACTTGTTTTCATTTGGCATAAAAAAGTAAATGTAGCTTAATTCTTGGGATCGTCAGGTAAATAATTGTATCACGTGGTAAATAGAAGTTATAATAGCAGATATTTTCTAAAGGTTTGATTTATAATGCCAAATTATTACGAGAGATCGCGAAGTCCCGATGGCCTAAAATCTTCAGTTTTCAAAGCAATCCAAAATGCAGAAGTAAGTATTACATTAGTTAAAATCATTTTACTTCAATAAAAAATATACATATTCATGTTGCAATCAATGTATCTTTTGATAAAATGTCTGTTAAGTTTCACTCCAGAATTTTCAGTCAAAAAAAATTTGCGAAAAATTAATGCGTAGTTGGTTGTATGATTGTAAGGAAATATTTTAATTGACTTAAAAGATGGCATAAGTCAATTATGTATGAAGTGATCGCTTAATGACTAATAACGAAACTAAATGCAACTCTGACATTACAGCAGTGAAATGAAATTGGGTCGTTGAGCTGTTAGTTAACAACTGTTTAATGTATCGGTCACATCACCATAAATAATCATGAGAATATAATTCATTATAAAAAATAGAGGGTGGCAATTTGCTTTTCCATTTGTGCCGGAACTGCCTCTCCGTAAAAGCAATATCTGCGTGTCATCATCATATCATATCTGAATTTAAAATAAATATTGTCAGCAAAATTAATTTCATATGCTTAGTGAAGAGTACAGAATTTATGCTTTCAGGTGATGATGAATAGGGGTGTTAAAGAATGCAACAAATATTCACTTGCAAGGATGGATGAGGTGGAAGAGGAGGGAATAATCGAAATTGCTGATTTTAAATTGTTTGGGGGTAATAAGGACGTTGGAGGTAGAGTGGAAGAACATCGGAAAATCTCAGAGGTTCGTTTTCTTCGATTTAATTACGTTTATAAGACGACTAGTATTGTGGGAGAATCAATAACACATTAACACAATAATAAGCTGCACTGCGAGACTTGAGACATATATGGGTATTAGCGTGGAGAGTATGCTTCGATTGTTTGTTCACAGTTTGTAGTTTAGAGTGTTAAAATGGTTGAAAGCACTAATACGGTTACAACAACACAGATAATGAAATGTAGCTAGCGAGGGAACGAGCAGAAAACGTGGGGGCTTTGAAAACAGTGCAGAAGCATATTTGAGTATAGTACGGTTCCTTACTGACGTGAAGGATAAAAATGGGAAAGATCAAACTGAGCCCTCAGCAAGAGAGCAGCGATCGGGCAAAACAAAAATGGAATAATGACAGGAGAGGGAGGAACGAAGTAGCGCTTCTGCGCCCTGTCAGCCAGCCAGTGCAAGACCCGCCCATGGGCAGATTCAGGTTCACCTCCAAGGCTTCCCACTGGTGTGGTACTGCTCTTCAGACAAACTATGTTATCCGAAGAGCAAGCGAAAAAAAAGAACTACTTGTGCAACTGACCTTTAACCTAGTCGAAGTCGATGGGGACTAGTTTCTTGATGCTGCTGTCTATTTTGTTGCCATTGTTGATGATAGCAGATTGTGATGATGTCTTGCATGAACTAAATTGCATAGAAAGCCTCTTTTTCGTGTCACTTAAGCAAAAACTTACAAGTATTGCTGTTACACTTTCGCCAGGTATTGTTATTCAAGCGGCAACACACGTAGACAGACAATCAATTAAGTAATTAATTAATGATTGATAAGACACAATACATTTCTGCTGTTTCACTTAGTATGATTTATTTCTATTTCAAGATTAAATTTTTACTATTACAATATTTAGCATTCATTACTCGATAACCGTTGTAACTTTTTAATGACATTAGACTAGAATGAACGCAAGTTAACAGAGATTTATTGCGCTTTCAAAGACAGGCGTTAATTCACAATAACTAACTATTATTGTTAATCTCGGTTGCTAATCATCACTTTCAGTGCTGTGAATGATTGCTCTCTGCTTAATTGAAATGATCTCTCGATTGACATGCAGCTGAAGTGTGTGTGTTGTGTTTGTGAAACTGTGGCGCCAGCATTAGCATTGGCACTGGCGCCACTGCAAAGTTACTATTCTACTACTAATCATATTCCAGCTCTTTGCTGTGAAGTTTTCTAAGATTGTCTTAGCTTTTTTCATTATTTTAGACAGGTGTATTTTCCAGTGCTACGCGCCAAAAAATGTTACTTCATCAATTTAAGTTATTCTTTCAAAATTCTGTTAAGCAGAATCTTTCCACTGCAATTTATTTAATATTATTATTGATGTGAAAACTGCATTTGATGCACTGCAAGAGAGTTAAATGGTTTTTAAAAAATGAAAAAATGTGTAAAAAATTAAGCTGAATATTTTTACATAACCATGTTTGTGAGCTGTTAATATCATCATCGTGAACTGTTAATACCGTCATCATGAACTGTACTGTTGATATTGTCTTCTGCTTTAATTTTTTAATGGGTTTGAAGTGATTTACTACAAATATCTATCTTTGGCGGTAAATTTTATTGCAAAAAAATGTTGCGAAATTATTGCCCTTTTAGAAATTGATGGATTGTTTGAGTAAATAAAAGAAGTGAGAAGTTTATGGAAAGAAGGACTAGTATTCTTCTAGTCAATGAATGAAAGTTACTTTGAACTTCTAAGAAACCAGACTACAACTATAATCGAAAAAGCGATACCTTTACAGTTATTATTTTCTCCATCTTGGAGTCTTTAAATTTTTTCATTCGGTAATTTCATCGCTGGTTTTTTGAATGAATGTGATAGTTGTCAACATTCATTACAAATATTGAATCACTACTAATATTGTAACTCGTTACTCGCGAGACTTCATCAAATAGTTTGAAAAGCTTTTTCAACAAGCGCCATAAACAATATGTGACTTTAGTGTAAAAGGTGACCTTTACTACTATCAATCTATCTCTTCACAATGTTATTCATTTTGATGCGTGTATGTGTGTGTTTGCGCGTTTGTATGTATGCACACGCATTCATTGAACCATCAAATTAGCGTTAATAGTGCTAATGCGGATTTAAGAGATGAATAAGGCGGCCGCTGTGCTGTCAAGAGGGGTCGTAGAAGTAGCCATCGATCTATTTTTCGGGCTATTAGAGAATTTTCAACAGTTTTGCACCTGTCAAGACAAATTAATTTACAATTTTGCCTGTTTTAACACCAACCCAACACTTACCTCTTGTCATGTGTTACTTTACATCATTACTGAATATTTATTTACGTCAACACTGAATTATCCTGTCACGCAATTCACTTTTCATTTAATAATAGCTGAGGCGTTCCGGGGTATATTGATTCAATAAAAACATAGCACATCCACAAATGACTTTCAAATTTATCTCTCTTTGTTACTATTTGTTGGTCGCGCTGATCACAGTGAATTACTTGTTCTCAAATGTGTCTGATGTCGTGATAGCTAGTATTGATAAGGATTTTTTTTCAATTATTTCATTCTTTGAATACAAAAATTTTGCCGCAGTTGGAGTGTAAAAAAAGATCTCTGTTGGAGTTGTAATATCAATTGTAGCATTTGCTACAAATCTTTACATTTATTGTTTGGTGTGACCTATCACCCTATCTTGTCCTTTTGACATTATTCATTTAGTCACATAATTATGCCAATTACTCAACATTTTTAGGCCCAATGTTTCTCAATTATTTTTTTGCTAAACATTTGCTGTCGAAGTAATGAAGTAATAATTACTTTTAAAATTGATGGTCATATCTAATTCTCAAAAATTAATTAATTATTTCTCTGTGGAATGAGATCGAATGATATCTATTTGTATGTGTATGTGAAAAGGAAACTTAGCATCTGTTAGCATCAGATATCAGTTTGGTTAGAATCAATTATGATTGTCCCAGCTTAAATACTTGTGCTTATAAGACTTGAGTGTGGGTAGCCTCAATGCATGAGTGAAAAGAATTTAAGTTTATAATATAAATTGATGTTTTCTTTAGGTTACTTCGTCGACTTTTTCAATTATTGAAGAGCCACCAGTAGTTGATACAATTCTCATTACTCGATGGATTCAAGCTTGTTCTGCAGGTGATCTGCGAAGAGTTGGAGAACTATTAAAGCAGAAGGTCAGAAAAATTTGTAAAAATTATGACAATTTTCGAAAGTATACTACTGGTAATTTGGTAATTTTTAACATTTTGCCATTTTTTTAATTGAAATTTGGAAAATTTCATTAAATCCGCGAGCGCTGAAAGATTTATACGGTAGATATCTAAAGAAGCTGCTGAAAGCATCCATCAAAAGGTGCCAGGCTTCGTTTCTTTAAAGCTTTTTAATCTCTTGAATTCTTCGAAACTTGATTTTATCAAAGTTTGAGCCCATTTTTTTGTTACAACAAAATCTCACCTGTCTAAAAGAACTACTTAGCCATACTTGATATCATACGCACCGGCGATAAATCACGGCTTTAGCGGGTTACATTATGCGGCAAAAGATGGTCATAGCTCTGTTCTCAGATTTCTAATTACAAATGGTGCTGATGTCAATCTTCGAACTGTAAGTTTCTAATCTTTATTTAAATGTCTGCAAGCATTAAAGACTCTTAAATATTTTGTGAATATAGCCTTTGCAGTTGTTGTTATAAAAAGTTTGCATTTTCTTTTATATGTAAATACCATTTTAAATTAGACTTTTTGATTGTAATGGTCAATGGTCTTTCAATCAACCTAATAACTTTATCTATAAGAGCTATTATTGAAATCAGTAAAATAGCAAAAATTTGTAGATTGCTACACAATTCGTAATTGTACTTGGTGATCTGAATTATTTTTTTTTCAGGCCGTAAGTTATTTCTGCCTCGATTTGTGAATATTGGATGAATGTGAAAATTGAATTTATTTATTTATTTAGAGCGGTTACACACCCCTTCATCTTGCTGCAATTAGTAAACAATTAGAAATTATTTCTATTTTACTCCGAGATTATGGTGAGTGTTCTTAATCACTTATATTTTTTTATTTGAATAATTCAGCTGCTGTTTTTTTTCGCCGTCATAAAAATTTCAACTTTAATATTTCTCACAAAAGTTTTTTCTTGCTGAATTATGTAGGGAACGCTGAGAAAAAATCATAGTAAATAATTTGCATTATTGGTTTCAAGATAGCTTTTAATGTAATAAATTATAGGGGCAGACCCATCAATTGAAGATTATTCTGGTTACACTTATCAGCATTATCTATTAAAAAGGCAAGGTAAGCTAGTTAGTACTCATTATTTTATTATTTTTCTATCAATTTCTCGAAACCATTTGCACTTCAATTTTTTTCAGAAATAAAGACCACAATACTGTCCTAAATAAAGTTAGTAAATTATCTAAATTAATTTAGAAACTGTCTAACTTTCTAGGAGTTTATAATCTTGTCGTTGTTAACTTCTTAACATTTTAATGTAAAATTTTGCATGGAATAAATTAAAGCAGTGAACTATTCAGTATTTCCTTTTTTGTTATTTTCAAGTTCTCCTTCCTAATCTAAATCATTCATGTAAAATATTACGTATTTTTGAAAAAGCTAGAATTAAAACTCCCGAGGTCGCAGGTGCCTGAAAAGTCACACATTTTATTTGAAGTGCTTATACATTATAAAATAATACTCTTAGAAAGTTGTGCTGTGCATTCACTCTTATTGGAAGGTAGCAGTGAAGGAAGATCGGTAGCAAAGCAATTCAGATTTCTTATGTAATATTAATCTTTAATAACTAATCTATAATATGAGCGAAAACCTTCCGCTATTCATCAGTAATTTTTTGCAAAGTGATCTTTTGAATTTCTCGATTATTACTTTTATTCAATTAATAACATATTAATGAACGTTTTGCTGATGTTTTAAGCGTAACTTCTGTATCACTGATAACAGTAATTTTTGCACTTTTTTTAGAATTTTTATTAGTTGGAAATACCAGCTTTTTACATTTATTTAATACCTAATTATAAGCGAAAGGACTATACTCATTTTGTCAAATTGGATGGCTGTTCAAAAGTTAACTGCTAAATTTCGAATCCCTTGCTTATATAACATTTATGGTAAAAAAATGAATCTTTCTTTTTCTTGCCTAAATTGAATCAATCTTCTGCTTTCGGTATAATTTCATTATTTTTTATCAAGTATAGAAAACAACATGTCACATTATTTTGACAATTTTGTTAATTACGGTAGTTCAATAGTTAATCCTTCGAGAACCAATAGGCTTTGGATGAAGTAGAAGTATGCAAAGAGAGTGGAATTCCACTTAAAATACCTTGTATTATTTTTGCAATTATTATTCTGAAGTATCTGTGATGAGTTTATTGTTTACGATAACTGAAAATATCTGTTATACTCATGGAATACTTGCTTTCTGTATCGCTAATTTACAAGGATACTGTTGTACTTATTTTCCCATAGTAAACGAGAAAAGATGGTTTTATTTGATTATATTTCCATGATATCCAACATGAGCATGAATCACATATTCTAATTTTGTATAGATACGCTTTCAGACATAATCGTTTGATTTGTGTTTTCACTAAAGCTCTAATTATTTGTAATGCATCATGAAAAGGTTTTTCTTCTAAGGAAGCACTACTTAATAGATTACAAAACGTTCATAGCTCACGTATTTTCGGTGATAATTTGTGAACTTTTGAAACTGCTATTTTTTCAGCAGAATCAAAATTTGCACAAAATGATAAATTAGTAAATATGTGTTGTAAAAGTGAAATTTTAGAAAGTGGTTATTATCAAGAAGCAAGACAAATAGTGGATACTTTCAGCAAATATGAAACGCAACAACAAGAGAGTACTTTGCAAGACATGGCAGAAGTTACTCAGTTTTCACGTTTGAAATCATTTCGAAAAGCAGTTCATGGGCGGATGCGTTTTTTCATTGGTATTTTTTTAGAAGACCACATATTTGAAATTCTAAAGTTTATTATACTGGAAACCAAACATGAGTTCTAAGCTATTATCAGTTACCAAATTTTTTCCAAGCGCGAATGTTCATGTTTTTATAATATTCTCTTTGAGCTATTATGTGTTGCTTTCATTTGTTTTAATAGCTAAAAAGCCATGAGGTACTGTACTTTTGAAATTTTAGGTATGAGCAAAATTTAATCTGTAAAATAATTGTTTGTTGAGTGTGCTCAAAATTAATTTAAAGGCAAATGACAGTAGCGGTTTATTTGTATGAAAGAAATCAGAATAAAACATTGAAGATTGTTTTATTTCCAGATAAATAGTGACAGAAGGAATAAAATATTGGAGATTGAGCAGTAACGAGAATGCTACAAATCTCTGCTTGTAAAGATTTTCATCAACCAGGCATATACTGGCTCGATTTTCTATTTTGGCAAGCGGTTTACTTTCTAATTTCAATGACCCGTAAATGTTATTGAAAAGATCAATTAATTGTCTCTTTCAAGTATTTGCATAGCTTGATTGATTCGGTAAACTGTAAATCTTTTTTAAGCTTTCAATCAAAGAATAGAAGCTAAGATTGAAAGATGGATGACATATCATTACTCTCATCATTACTGTTCTTACTTGACCACTACCAAAAGAAGGGTTGTATTATTTCCGATTGTCTTAGCAATGCAAAAAAAATCTTTACCCTCCACTGAATCTAATTTTCATCATTTTACTGCTCTACCCTACAACCCTTCTTATTATCTGTCTCTTTGTTTCACCCTGAGGCCTGTAATCTTCGTTAAAATACTTCGATAAAACAGTCAGTGGCAAATAGCAACTGACCTCTTTTTCTTTTTCATTTTTACAAGCTGTTACCAGTTTACGGACAAAAAATCGTTTATATGCTTATGAAGAAGTTTCTATGCATTTTTTATCTCAATCAGAAAGAAACAAATATTTATTAATTTCAAAAAATGAAAAAAGTTCCAAAATTGCTCAGGAATTACATTTGAGGTAAGTATTATTTGAGATATAAACGATTTTTTGTGTAGTTTTGCTTATTTTTTTTTAAGAAAAAATTCATTTCAAAGTATGCTTAAATGCAGTAATTATGTGTTTGAAAAATCTTTGATAAGATCAGAATTTAGTGTGTAGATATCTCAATCAACATGTGAGCAAACAAGCAAACGAAAACTATATGAGATAATGCCTACTTGTTTGGTTAGGGTTTAATTAACCTGTCTTACCTCTAGTTTATCATCTCAAAATTTACCCCATAATTATCCGAAAGAGGGATTGCAAGGCAGGTCGGTCAGCTCTTTCTTCAATGGTATTATTATCATTTTGATTATGGTAGATTGTTTGCAATATTGGATTGACCACTGACCAATTTTCACCTGTTTATTAACCAATTCAACAGATTGCCCAAGCAAATGCACTTTTTCTTTGATATGTATTTTTTCGTTTCATAATATATTACAAGGAAAAGCGAATAAATTTTACTTTCTTATTTTCTTTATAAGAAATAAAAACAGTACTTTTAATGTATACTTAAAAGATTCATCTCTTTTATCGAACAGTTATGAGTTTTTTTCTAAAGCCTCTGGTCAGTTTATGCTAGGCAAAAAATATTTTGCTCTTGTTCTCTCTTCATACATCTTTTGCTATTTACTCTCAAATACTACTTCTTGTGGCTTCTGAAGGCAATTCATTTTGTGGATATGATTATTCAGGAATTAAGATGATTCTACCAATTTAGCTTTTGTTGGCATGCGAGTGATTGATTCTCATTCATGTAAATTTTCTATATTCTCAATTTTATACCATGATTCCTAAATGCTTTCTGTAGTTTTAATTTGTATATTTGCTCTGAATAAATAAAGTTTTGCCAAGTTCTTTATTTGCACGAAGACAAAATGCAGTATCGTAGTTTCGTTTTGACATTCTTGCATCCTATTCACCTGACTTTATCCCTTACTACAGGTCATTAAAATAAAATTCATTAGTTCATATATTCTTTGACGGACATTAAACAGAATTTCCATAATTTATTCGTGATTAGTATTGATGTTGATCGTGTCGATGAATGAAGGAAGTATTTCTCCATTGTTTCATTTCAAAAAGTGCAATTTTTTAGTTTGATGCACGTATTCAGATGAAGAGAAAGTTTACTTTGAATGAAGCAGATTAATGTGTGAGTTGATAAATATGAATATGAATGCAGTGTACACATTGTATGCTTCGTCACTGCTTGTCTGATAAGACTGTTTGTAATATTCAAGTTCATGCTGTTCTTAGTTGAAATAAGAGAGCAATAAGTCATACAGATATGATGATATTAAATGATATGAGGGCTTGAGCATTGTTTTATTGCACAAATTAATGCAGAAGAAAGCAAAAAATTCAGTTTTGAAGGTAGGGGTTGCGGTTGGTATTGCAGATACGAGTAAACTGAATAGAGAGCTTTTCTAAGAAATCATGCAAGCTTAATAACCAGAAATATATGGAAAAGCAAACAATTCTTGCAACTTCCTCTTTTAATAACTCCAGATTTTATTTAAACACGAGCCAGCAAGCAAAGTTGAATTCTCTTTTACATTCTGAATTCATCTTATTGAAGCTGATGACTTAAACTGATTTCTGTTTAAGTTCAACTGCTTCAATTGGCAAAAATAGTGATTTCAGAGGATAATTAGCGATGAAACTGTAAGTGAGTGAGGGAAAAATTAAGCAGTCAAGTAAACAAGTCAAATTAATTACTTCTTAAGTAGTAATCCATCTTTCTGCAAAGGTGCTCACATAGATAAATAGATAGATCATTGCAGGTGATAAAACTGCAAATTTTGCTATGCTTTTTCTATCGGAAATCATTGGAGCATTTTTTGTAGCATGCTTGCTAACACTTTGCATGACTTTGCTAATCACTTTTACGTTGTAGCAAGCAAAAAATATGCAATTCAATTTTTCCACCACATAATCTTTCAAATCTTGCAACTGATCTCTGATTAATGCCTAGTCATTATTAGTATTTAAACATAACTCAAAACTAATTCAAGTATTAGAATAAATAATATGAAATCTATGCAGCAAAAATTTTTTTTTACAACTATAGAAATTCCACCAAACTTTAAACTCGTACTCATCTTTTTATAAATATGGACGATGCAAAGCCTTTTTTCTCTTTTTGTATTTATTTTATTGACATTAATAATTGCAAGTAAATGTTCACATAATAAAAAGACTATTTTAATGAATTAAACAGGAACAAATAAACTGCTCTGAATTAGTCAAAAAATCAACTAGAACGAATTACACGATGAATCTTCGAAACTTCACTTATGCTGTGTTCACGATTTCAAAAAAGTGGTAAAAGTTATCTTATACATGAAGCATTACAGACAATGCCGCCATCATAAAATTATAATTGAACTTTGTGAGATTTGTGCAAATAATTTCTCGAAAAGAATTGATATTTGATAGATTCTTTCGTTGCTAAAAATTCCAGAAAATAATTTAACAAGCTAATTGCTATTTTTCTTAATTGAATTTTCACTTAACAAAAAGTTTAAGAGAAGAAAAAGTTTTTTTCAGAGAAGAATGTGATGCTTTCAATGTCCGCAAAATTCGTTGGTTCATATTGATGAATTATCACTTTTTTAAATGAACTTCAATATTTTTTTCTTGAAGGTCACTATAAATATTTGACAGTGGACTACTCATCTTTTTTTTTGCAATGAATTTTTATAATTACTTTCGTATTCGATTTGTAATTACTCTTCAATTTGCTCTGTGAATATTGTGATTGAATTGCAGATTGAGATCAACATTTTTATGCCTTTTATTATAATTTTATTGTAACTATTATGATATTTTTCATTATTGTAATTCTTGAAGATAACAGAATAATGTATGATAAAATAAGTTGTAAAAGTTAAACTGTTTTATAACTTGTTTTATTATACATTATTCCGCTGATAGAAAATCTGGATATGCTATAACTTATAGCATTAATGATTAATAAAAGATACGTTGACCATTCAGGGTAAATAACCTGAATGATTTGATAATTTATTAGAATTTAAAAAGTACAAAAAAATTAATGCTATTCTTGGTAAAGTAAATGAAAACAATATGTCAAAAGCTGCTGTAGTAAACAACGACGGATGCATTAATGCAAACAATTCAGCAAAAATATCTCCACTAAAAAATTTCAGAATTGTCTATTTTTAAGTTTTTTATAATAGAAAGTTTGATGTTTTTCAGCCTACAATAGCAGTATTTACAACAGTATTAAAACATTACAATCACTTCTATACATGATGTTTTAATAACTACCATTGTGCGCTAAAAGCAACTAACAACTGCATATCGCTTTAATGGACGTGAGATGATAAACACGTTTATGTATATATTTCTATGCATGTACAAATAAATAGGTGGTGGGTCAATTACAGGGTTAGAAAGTACCGCTGAAGGTAAGTAATACCAAAGATAATAGTGGCAGGCGGTCAGGTATGGTTGCATTCCATTAAACGATGAATGAAGTGACATTCGCTTTTGAAAAACGACATTCACGTTGGGCATACACTTTATATTTTTGCATTAACTTAAACTTTTTTGAGGGAAATAGAAAATGAGCAGAGAGATATTCCACATTATTCGCAAGTAATGAGTTAATATTTTCAAAAAAAATTGCCTTTCAATTTTGTCAATCTTGCTGTTATTTTTATCATTACTATTGTGATAACATTTAATTTTGAGCTGAAAAAAGTATTATAAAATGCAAAATAAAGTGAAAGGTTTTTGAAGAAATAATTAATTTTTATTGACATTATTAGGATAACATTTAGTAATTATTTTGCTTGCTTTAAATTAAGTAAGTAATTGACAGTTATGTTTTGTACTGAAAAAAATTATGTTTATTACTTATATTGAAAAAGTGAAGTAAAAGATATATTACTATCAAGATGTTTGGATAAGAGTATGAGTATAGTATTTAACGGCTAATTGAGTCAGTTGACAAGAAGGTTTGCTTTTCAAGTAATTAAAGTTAAAGTAAAGATTTACTTTGGCGAGAAAAGCGATATAAGTGGATGACACTTAAAGTAAATGACTGACTGTTAAAGCTTTACTTTCTTTACTTTTTCGCTGCTTACTTTAACTCTCCCCTCACTTCATTTCTTTCTTCTCATGTTTACTACTGGTAAACATTTTGCAATCAATCCTGCACAACACTATTCTTCAACTCAGACTCTTCTATACTACTGTAATTCGGAAAAAAATTTTTGTGCCCTTGACATGAGTTAACACCCTAAAATACTGTTATACTTCA